TGAGATTTTGTTTTTTTAAATCTAAAATAATAGAATCATAGAATAGCTCAGGTTGGAAGAGACCTTAAAGATCACCTGGTTCCAAGCTCACTGCCATAGCCAGGGATGCCACGCACTAGATCAGGTTGCCCAGGGCCCCATCCAACCCGGCCTTGTACACCTCCAGGGATGGGGCATCTACAGCCCCTTGGGGCAACCTGCCCAGCCCTCCACCACTGTCGTGGTGAAGAATCTCCTCCCAACACTGAATCTAAATCTCCCCTCACCCAGTTTAAAACTTGTCCTATCACATGTAAATTGTACTATACTATCTCATAGCTCATAATTGTACTATATTATCTCATATTATCTATGTTAGTTGTAATATATTATCTCAACTTCTAGATTGATATTTTTTACACGTTTAAATGCTTTTTAGATTAGAGAAACCAACATAAAATGTACATGCTAAGAGAGGAAAGGAAAGCATTAGATTTAAATAGGCAAAATAAATGCAAATTCTCTGCAAAATATGACTCCTTTTTGATATGGTCTAAGAACTTATGGCAAGTTGTCAGCTGAGCCTTATAAAATCAGAATTGTTTGTTATTGCAAAACTCTCAGACACCCCACAGAGCATTAAAAAATATGTATTGACAATAAAAAAAAGAAAAAGAAAAAAAAAAAGAATAACTCTGTGAACATTTCTGTATGCACAAAAGTTTCCTAAGCCTTCTCCACATACATGCTAATCATCTGCTGCAATGTTCCTGTAACATGCATATAAATATTAACCCCATTTTACTGGTGGGAAACAGTAATAAAAATGGTGAGGTAAGCTAAGATCATCAAGAAATAAAGAGGGGATGAGATAAAGATTAAAAAGCTTCTGTCCTTTGCACAGTCCGTATACTAAAATTCATGCCAAGCTACCAAGAAATCCATCATGGTCAAAGCTGTGGTGCATCTGGCAGCCCAGTTTCACTCCTCCATGCTAGACTGACTGCTTACTTTATGAACCCTTCCCTAGAGGTTAAAATCTTTACTTGTTTCATGAAACCCCAAAGATAATCTTTGGTAGTTTTAAGGGATAATGAAAACTTGCAGTCATATGGAAAAAGCAGCTAACTTACTGTTTTCAGCATTTGCATTTTTAAGATGCAAATTGCGTTTGCATCTTTTCAGCATTTGCATTTTTAAGATTTTTTTCTACTTTTTCAAGTAGAAAATTATTTTAAAAGAAACACAAAAGTTGAAGTTGAAAAGTTGAAGCATCCGCAAAAATACCAGATCAGTGATACCAAAACATATCAGTGCCAGAGAACTGGCTGCATCAGTGGCACACAGTACTGATTGTAAATATCTATAGAAGCCATTCTCACAGCCTAGCCACTTAGAAAAAGATAAATAATAATAATTGTATTTCTGAACAATTATTTCTTCTATATCCAGGCAGTGGCCACAAAATCATCCACACATAAAGCCATGCGATTGAAATAAACACATTTGATCTATATTTCTTCTGAAAATCATAACTGAATAAACCAAAATAATTGCTGTCAAGATGGACAGATACACTGAGACACAAACACTGAGCTGAACTGGGAAACCTTATAAATACCTTTGACACTTACGTGCTGCTGGATTCTATTTAAATAACCACGTCTGTCAGTTATCCTTCTTAGGAATTTCCATGTATCACAAGGGCTCAGCAATGGTCTACTACTAAGAACTATTCTATAAATAGTTTTGATTTCTGTAGTGACTATGAACATGAAAGGAAAATGGCATCACAATGTACATCACAGAGTATAAATATTTCCAATATTCTCTGAAATGAAAACAATTTGAAAAATATAGCACTGTGTTCATCCTGCTTTTAAATCAAACCATGTTAGCATGAAAAAGGAACAAAGCCAAAAATATATTAGTTTTGTCTTCAAAAATTCAATGAAAATGATTGTGCAAGGTTAGCTTCCAGTGGTAAACCTCCATGTGTATAATGGATCCTAAATTAAAACCTATTTCCTTAAAAGGTGATCTTATTGACAAATACTAAGAGCGATGATAGCAAAACCAAATTCAGAAGACCTTCGTTCTGGAAACATTAAATAATTTTTGGTATACTTTATGATAAACTTAAATATAAATATGAATCTGCATTACTAAATATAAACGTGCAGAAAATGAGAATAGAATTGGAATAGAAATATACGCCTTATTCTAGCATATTAGAATGACAGATCATATTAGAAGGACAGATCTCCAAACTAATCTAATTTCCAAAATACATTAAAGTACTAACATTAGTAAAACAAAACAAACAAAAATCACCAATATAGATACAGTATATTTTCCTAACTCTAAAATTAGGACTTACATAAAAGTTATAAAACCAAACTTTTTTAACTTTTATTGAATGATTTCAACTTCTTGGTTTGCCTTAGTGTTCAGTTAATAAATATATACGTAGAGTTTATTATGAAACATAACATGACTAGTATAGCAATTATTGAAAAAAGCCAACTTAAACATCTTTCAGACATAAACCTCATAAAGATCTTCTATTGATTTATGATTCTTCTTTCACAAGCATTTACCATCAAGAGTGAATCTTAATTAAGAGAAAAAATATTTTTTTGATTATTTAAGAATGATTATAGGACAACTCAGATAAATCTGAAATTACTAAATAGCATAATTTATCATTTGTAAAAAAAACACTGGTCATAATGAAGATGTGGTGGAACCATGATAAGCAGTTGATGTGTCCTTTCATATGGAAGAAAATGGGCATACATGAAAATAAAATTGCTAGGTACCTTATAAAAACGTAAAAAATCGTTGACTTTTACAAAACCAGAAAAAAACAACAATACTAATAGTTTTAAAACTAGATGAAAATATTTGTGTGCATTTGTGTCTATTTGTGTACATGCCATTTCATAACACAAAGAAATAGGATTTAAGTCATGGTTAATTCAAGAATCTGCTAGTCAACAAAAAAGATCATGAACAAATCAGTGTGGTTTGAAGCAGAATGACAATACCATGCTGAACCTGCTCTTTTGGGAATCTAACTGAAACAGTACATAAAATAAATTTTTAATCAAACATATATAATTACGCAACTCTACAACTCTTAAGTTTCCAGGAAAGTTTCCAGAGTACTGTGAATGTACCTCAGCTGACACTGTCTCTGGTTCAGATCATAGTCCAAGCCATTGAGTGTTATTAACATGGTCAAACTAAAGATGAATTATGAGGGAGTATCTAATGAAGACCCATGTTATTGTGCAATATTTGGGACATGTCATTATATGTATAAAAATGGTAACAATAGAGGTCAGGAGGAATCCTTGACTTTATAATTATTTATTTATTTATTTATTTGTGGCAGAAAGTGTCCTTGCAAAAATCTATGAAATGGAATTTTTACTGCTAAAAATTTGTTTTTGAAAATCTAACAATGTTCATTCACCACTACCTATAATATGTTATTTCTTAAATTCTGTATTTATAGCTAAATATTAAGCCCATATTCATTGATACTTTTATTAAAGGGTAAAAGATAACAGGCTTATAAAAGTTCCATTAAATGCTCATGCCTTATGATTCTCAAGAACATTACATGTTCTTAGCCTCAGCAAGAAGAAGGAAAATTAGATGTTACCAGAACTGAAATATGTTACTACAAACTGACTTTCTTTCCTGTACCCATGGAACTCCTGAGGGCTATTTCCCTTCTTTTAAATAAACTTATTAGAATCATAGAATGGTTTGGGTTGGAAGGAACCCTAACCTAGTTCCAATCCCCTGCCATGGGCAGGGACACCGTCCACTACATCAGGCTGCTCAAAGTCCCATCCAACTTGGCCATGAACACTTAAACAATTCAATACTTTTTAGTGAAAAATGAAGCAGACCTAAAGCTGCCTTCATCTTCTTTGCACTCCCCCTTTACAGAAAATTCATGTGAGTCATCATGAACTCCCAAACTGTAAGAAACTTTAAACGTGTTATAAAGCTATGACCAGCCTCAACGTTCCCTCTTTGCATGGAATTTGTCAGTTACTGCAATTTTTATGCTATTTAATGGAGCAGAGATCTCCCACTTTTTCCTCAAAAAGGCACATGAAGAAACTGCATTACTTGCAGGACCCTGTCTGATCATTTATACTTTATTTATACTAAGAATTTGACTGGCTTTTGAACTTAATTTTGTATTCAAGCCATTTTTAAATTTTACTCTTTCATTTAGATTATATCTATTCTCGAAAAAAGTTACATATAAGTCATATCTGTCTGCGCTGAGTCAAATTCTGGTCCTTTACTAGATCAAGCTCAAACTGTTTTAAGGTCTTTAGGATTTTACCCGTTTTATGCACGTATAGCTTGTTAATTATTTACTTTTAGTAACATAATTTCAATCATCTCCTGACTTACTGAAGGAAAACTGATTTTTGCAATTAAAAAAAAAAAATCTGTAACATTGTTTTCCTCCCTTTAAGCACTTTACACAAATACACGTGTACATGTCAGCCCACGTGTATTATGTGGACTAAATATCTAAGTGGAATTCCTCAAATTAAGTTGCAATGGAAAAATGTGTGTATAGTACAATATATATACTATGAATGAAGGAGAGATCTTTTATGTATACATATCTACACCTCAGTCAATTTTAAAAGGTCTGAGAATTCATTGGTTTGTTTCAAATACTAAAACGACTCCCTTAGGATTTATGAGCTAAGAATGCTTAGGGGTTTAGTGTCCTGACATCTCTTTAATTAGCAGTCTCCAAGATCTCACACTAAGAAGATGCTAAGCCAGTGCCTTCTGTCATATCTCAAGAGTTTCAGAAGGCTTGGAAGCCACAGAGGAAGCAGAATGTACTATGCCTGATAGCTATACAGTATGTACAACGTACCGTTTTCTTACTAGTACCTAACTTCTTGCTACCGCTCCTGCTTTGATGGTGATGAAGTTCTGAAAGAAATCCTAAGAACAATCCAGCCAAAATGGGTGAGGTAAATAAAGATGCTGTTGAAAAATATTTGGAGAACAATCCCCAGTTTGCCAAGGAATATTTCGACAGAAAAATGAGGGCAGAAGTGCTGGGAAGTATCTTTAAAGTGAGCCCTGGAGATGTGAAGGAAGGAGTCAGCTTCAAAGACATGTCCCGCTTGGAGGAGTGTAACATACTTTTCGAGCTGCTAACAGAAATCCAGGATGAAGCAGGCACTATGGAAAAGATAGTGCACAAAGCCCTGCAAAGGTTGGCACAGCTGCTGGCAGCTGATCGGTGTAGCATGTTTATTTGTCGTTCCCGAAATGGTATTCCAGAGGTAGCTACCAGGCTTCTCAATGTCACTCCAACTTCCACCTTTGAGGAGAATTTGGTGCATCCAGACAATGAGACTGTTTTTCCTTTGGACATCGGGATAGCGGGATGGGTTGCTCATACCAAGAAGTTTTTTAATATACCTGATGTGAAAAAGGTAAGTGAGTGACTTCTCTTGGGGAATGGGACTGTGCATACACTTAGCTTCCTTCCTGCACAGGGCTTGTGGTTTGGAGTCACTCTTCAAAAACATCTCAGAGACAGAAATCCAGACCAAAACCATCAGAAAGCCAACAGAAGAATATGTTTAAAATCCAGTAGAATTGCATCATGTAGCCTAGTGAGATAGTTCCATTATCCTTGCATAATAACTGAAATATAATTTGCTGTAATAAGGAAGGAGAACATTAAATTAATAGAGACCAACAAATACTTGTGTTTCTATTGAACCAGGCAGGCTCCTACTCTGTTTTCCAGTACAGGCTTGCAAGTACTATCCCTTGTCAAATTCCATTGAGTGTATAACAGCACAGAATAAGTGATTTGCAGTTTTCATAATGAAAGTGCTTCCTTCTAAGGGGGGTGAATGAACCCAAATGAAGATGATGTCAACATGTATGTCCAGTTTCACATCTATCTTTGAATTTAAAGTAGCTTCAAATTTAGTGTATGTCCAGATCCAGAGATTTATTCAGAACCATCTACAGAAGAAGATTAATGAGTCAGAGCTGCTCTGGCATTTTCAAAGTCCTTGTTGAATTTGCACAGAATCACCTTCTTTGACATGTTGATACGGGTCATTACAAATATTACATGAAAATTATGTGAGTGACCTAACACAAATTAAACATGCATGCATAAGAACTGCTTTAGAAACTGCTTTGAAATACAGAGGGAAATAAAAAGGTGCTTTGATTGTTGCATTTAAAAAACAAAACAAAACAAAAAAACAGCTAACCTTCAACTCTTAATCTTACATGGAGAAGCTCAGCAAAATCAAATGGTGCTAAGATAATTATACCAGATGATATCTGTCTTCTCAGTATTTCCTACACTGTCAATTTAAAATTCTAGGGCATTTTAGAGATAGAAACCACCTCAGTGTCCTAAGCTCAATGTAAGCAATAATGTCTTTATACAGTAAAAGTAATGTTTTTTATCATGTTAAAAGTTGGCAGACAAATAAATAAAGGACTATTTTTAAAGCTTAACACCAAGCAAAAATGTAAACCTATGGGAACAGAACATTCCAGTATATAGTAAACTACCTCTGATGTAAGTAGGAATCATGGAAACAAACAGAAAAATGACTGATATGAGGAAACAAATCACTTGTTTTTTAACTGATCACTGAGACACCTTCTTCAGTGGCTGCTGTTCTGACAAGAAGCATATGACTTACTGCCTCTTACCACCACATGGGAAGATTGGAGGATAATCCTTCTAAATTCATAAGGCTGATTACATGAGAAAGATCAGGAGGATCAAGCAAGATGTGCCTTCTATCAGACACTGTACTGCTCCTTAATATCATTACGTGAGAGGTGCCTAGAGCAGGGCTGCCCAAATATTTCTGTGCTTGAAGCAGGACTTGTTCAAAATTTTGTGATAAATGTAATTTGAATACCTTTAAGAGTACCTCTCTGTCTATCCAGTACTGCTAGGTATATGTTTTACATGCATAAATTAATGTCTGCTGAATATCTATTCAGCTATTATTCAGTCACTTTAAGATCATTTTTCCTTTGGCATTCATTTATTTATTTAGGATTACTGAGGTCCATGCCACTAGGTCACACTTAAAAACACAGTTAAATCATGGGGCCGTCCATCCACATTTGATAACTAGATGTCATCAAAACTCCCGGAGACTTCACTGGGACCAAGGTTTGTTATTTGAAAATAACCAAAAAGGTCTCAAAATTGACAGCATTTCCACTCTACTTGTAAAACTAAAACATGAAAACAAATAAAATTCAGTGTCCAAATCCATACTTTCCACATAGGCAAAGCTCCCACTACTGTCACCAGAATTTTATCTCCATAAGGAATCCAGAAGTGCAATTTTATTCAGTAATATGTAAGGAATATAACCAGTCCACGACAGAAAAAAACAGCCAGCCACTGAGGCCTTTATCACACTTTCTTGGAAAAGATCATTATTTGTAAAATCAGTTTGTTTGCAGTTCAGTCAAACTAGATTGTCTGCTACCCAAATTCTGACAAGCAGATTTAAGTCAGAGAGGAGTTTTGCCCCTAATGTCTTGTCAGAATACAAAATGCACAATGAATAATTCCAGATGCCTGCAGTGCTTTAAGGATGTCATGTCTAACCACTTTCTATTGTTGACAGAATCCATATCCAGACAGCATTGCATTTTAAAGTCTTAAATATATGACAACACTGACAAACCCACAGCGAGACATCGTCATGCTTCAATCACCACCCCTGTGTAACAAGAGGGAATGTAACAAAAGGTCACAACAGCAATCAATCTTTGAAAAAAAATGTAAGACCCCACTTCTAGTGCCTGGGAGCCAGTTCTTTAGGGATTATCTCCATCAACCTGGAAAAGTACCAATAAACGTGAGGAAGCTCCTCATCCTGACTAATGCTTCAGAAAAGAAAAGCAGAGGAAAAGATACAGACCTTCCATAATTAACTTAGTAGCAAGAACAGTCTCTCCCCACGAGATTACAGACCTGTTGACTGCAAGAGCTAATAGTGTTTAATCCAGGATTTAACAGCAGTGAGATATAGGAGGCCAGGAAAGACCACTGCCCTGATGGTTGGCCTCACATTGTTCCCAGGGCCTAGCAGAGTATGCTAATTCCACAGTAAATTGAAAGACTGCATAAGATTTGGTATGTCTGCTATTATCCTTTAATTATTAACTGATACCATTGACAAAATGATAAAGAGTTTACCTTACATCATGTCCTAAGGTACTACTTCCAAATAGAACTAAGAACTAGTTAGACGAGGAACATGACTTCCAAGGAATTAAAATCTCACAGTCTCAGCTTGTCAGAGTCAACAATGAAGACAATAATATATTTGCTTTAATCCACCATGCATTTAAACTACTGCATTATTGCTTCTAATTCAGATATATGTGAAGACAAAGATGTTCCTAAAGATTGAAATCTCAAGAAATAATTTTCCTTATTATAGTAGAGAAAAAAAATATATAAAGTGGTGGGAAAAAAAAATAAAAAGTATTAGAAGGCTTTAGGATTAATTCCATGAAGGGACCTAAATGTGGAGAGATTCTGCTATCTCCAACTTGAATTAAGCAGCCAGAGCAATGATTATTGTGGCACCTAGTGTAACTACTGGAGATCTGTGATACAAACCATCTTAAAAACTTCTTCAAGTTGTGAGCACTTGTATTATTCCTTTGTAAATTGATCCAGCCTCAGTTTGCATGAGCCTTTTTCTGGGAGCTCTACTTCTCTATAATTAAAAGGTGGGAGAGACTTTCATGCCAGGCCTGTCAGAACTAACACGAGTTTCAGGTTCATGGGAACACACGAATCCCTAGACTTCAGGCTGTCTGAGCCTGGAACCAAAACAAAGAGACACTCCATCCCTTCTCTTACTTTTACAGTTTGGTGTAGATTCAAGTTAAAGACAATTTGAAAAAGGAAGAGAAGAAAGCAAAAGGAAGACCTGAACATGGCAGAGGGAAAGAATTATGGAGGAAGAAGGCAGAAGAATGGGAATCGCTTTGTGGTGGAGCTGGTAGCATGGCAGTCTCTTGCTAATGAGATTCTCGGTTCTTAACTCATCTTCTGCTAGGCCCCTAGCAACGCGATCTTGAAGAAGAACCCCAAGTATCCAACATATTGATGTTAAATAATGCTCCAAAGGCGAGAGGACAATTGTGAAATTAACTTTAGATGGAAATTCTTCACAAAAAAATTCAAAACTCATAAGATTAGAACGAATGAGAGCAAAGATACACAATGCTACAGAAGAACTGCCTTCCTAAATGTTTGGAAAGCAGTGAGAATTGAATGAAACAATCCCAAGAAAAAGTAAACATAGGGGAAAAAATTGAGAGGTAGCTTTTTACCTAGAAAGATTCTGCACTGTACATGTAAATATCTGTTCCTCCATTTTATATTGTCATCTTGATAACAAACTGATTGTTATTATAAGAGAGAAATAGATTTCCATTTTTTCCAGTTAATATTTGCTATATTGAGTATAAACATATGACAAAGATTCAGTCAACTTTCAAGAAAACATTTTAACATATGAAGAAGTTTATATTAATCCTGCCCTCCAGGAAACAAGCAAACAAACCAACCCCAAATAGCTTTCATTCTTATTTTGAATTAACTTGTGTTAAAAGAGGAAAGCTCTCAAAATGGAAGGAAGAACAAATATTAAAAATTACAAATGAAAAGTTCCCTTTCAGCCTTATTTTCTTGCTATATGTGAAAAAATGACTTATAGCAACATAATACAGATTCATTTTGAAAAAGTTGCAAAATATCCACTAACCATGGCCAGAAAGCAGAAAATCATTGAAAAGTGACATGACTGAAGTTTAACCCCAAAATGCTCTCAAATATATATTAATGTCTATTTACTTTCATTTTCAAAACTCTAATGATCTTGAAGGTATCAAAGTCAATTTGTTCTGTTATGCTAGTAAGCTACATGTAAAAATGCATCTGTCTTACTTCCCTGACAAAACTTGATTTTCTGAATGTTTTCTAACGAATGGCCAAATCATTTAACTAATTGGTTTTGAATCAGAACTTTATTTTCATAGCTGATGCTAAATGCTTTTAATATTCCATTCATATTCAATTGTATCATTACAAAACAGAAACATTTGTGAGTTGAGAATAGGATAAGGAGATATAATACAGCACTACAACTCAGCAGTAAAAATTTTGTTTGAAAAATCTGAGCCAATGCAAGACAATCAGTAGAAGAACAAATATCAGGAAGAGGAAAAAATACCGCAGACTACCAGACAATAAAAAAGAAACATGTAAAGATTGTGCAAAAAATCATGTGATAGTGATGACAGTGTCATGCTGGCTCCTGATGTCACCACCTCCTATGGTTTCTCTTCCTGTAGTGTTCCAGACCCATGTCTGGTCATCCTACAACTGAAGGATGATGTATTTCTACAGTTTGAGCTGACCTATCCAACCCAGAACCTGCACTCCACTGTGCAGATAGCAGCAAAGTAGTCATAACTGCAAGTGCTCCCAGAAAGTCCCTCTTCCTCTGTGCTTCATAATAGGAAAGAGGTGGAGGAAAATAGGCATTGGCTGTCTACCACCATAGCTGCAGGATTAAGTCTTACTGCTTCTTGTCCACTGTGATATCAGGTGCACTTTGCCGAACTTAAAATTGGGAAGTGGCTGCACAGCAAGGTACTGACAAGTCACTCAGAAACAACACAAGAAGGAAGAAAGTAAGAATGGGAGTAATGGTGAAAACTGGGAATAAGGGCAAACCAAGGCGTAAATGTCATCTGCGGGACATGGATAAAATGCTATCATATTGCTTCATAGCCCCCAGTCAAAAAAGCAAAGATTTATGAGACAGTCTCATTTCCTAATGCAGCAAACCACATGCAGTGAAGGTGTTGATGGTGGGCCAGATGATAAGCAATTGAAACTAAGGAAGTATACTGGAGATGTGAGAAGCCTCCATACTAAAAACTTACAGCTGCTGTTCCTATTGGTTCAGATGAACCAATACAGTGAGACTTCACCCTGACTGGCCAAACTGGGAAGTGGGTTCCATATTCCTTTATATCTTCAATTGCATTGCTTTTCAGAATTCTCCCTTTCTCTTTCTTTCTTGAATTTATATAAATTACACATCTTTGTATGTACCATGGAAACCAAATTAACAATGATTACACTCATTACTTAAAATATTTTTTGCATTTTCTGATCAAATTTACATTTGCTGAGTGATTATGCTAAGGAGTTTGTCCTGAAGGTTTTGGGTAGTGTCAAACTCACGTGACTCCAGCTGCATTTTGCCATTAATCCAATCAGAAATGCTCAAGACTTAGCTCAGTGTTATGGAGCACAGTGTAGCTAAGATGTCAAGTCCTAAAATAACATGGTGCTCTTCCATTATTAAATACTGAATGATGGTTGAATGAACATTAGAACAATCATCTTCAGTTATAATAATAATTATTATCAAGTTTGGCATAGAATAAAACCTGTGAAAGTTTAGAAATCTTGGACAACTCTTTTTCATAATTTGCTTAAAGAATTGTGGGATATCTAAAACCAGCCAGCAAGGCAGAATTTGTCATGAAAGACGTAAGGTCTTTCAAGACTGCTAAAAGGAAACATAGATGAACATCACTCCGAAGACAGGAACTGAGATCTGCAGGGAGAACCATGAAATAAGAAAGATAAAATGATTCCTTCTTATAGATGGTCCTTCCATAAGAAATTTTTAGAAATAATAAAGTAACACTGATTTTTGAAACAAACAAGCAAACAAACAAACAAACAGAAAACAGCAATGTAATTGTAAAGTATAATCTGGTCACATAATCTTTGAAAATTAACCTATTTCTTGAAATGCCTGTGGTTCCCAGGGAAGATACTTTTTCTAATTTTTACCCTATTACCAACACAAACTTACAGCTGTGTAGCTACAATTCACAATCATACACAGTATAGTCTCAGCAAGCAAGCCTATTCATAACCACCATTCAAGGAAAGTAAACAATATTGTTAAAAAGAATGGCCAAATTTTTCACTCGTAAGATCAGGCTCAAAAGACTTAAGTTTCTACCTTCATATAATCATGGGAACACTGAGATACTCTTCTGGCTCTGGTACTACAGAGCTTATTTATGTATCAACATGATTTTCCAGACATTGTGAAAAGTGATTTTATTCAAAATCAAAAGGAGTTTATGTTCTCAAAAGAAAAAATTTTAAAACTTTGATTGGAAAAAAGGCTTCAAAACCCCCTGCCAGTTGTGTGCAAAATAATCAATAATGTAAAGTCTAAATCTAAGCACAAAATTTTGCTTGTATATGCAAATCACGTGTGATTGAAGTCTTTGTGATAAAGCTGCCAATGTGTCACGAGGTATTTATATCTGTCTGTATTTGCACTATCTAGGCACTATTCAGGTTGGCTTGTAGTTATTTTCTTATTACCTGCAGAAATCTTGCTACCAAAGTTCTTCCCAAGCACCACTACTTGTCTGGAGTAATTAAACAAATTAAACTCAGCTGTTTTATCCTGTTGATTCAACTCACTTGGTGTATGCAGGTCCCTTTTAAGTAGTTGCAGATCGGGGATTCAGATGTCTGTTAAGTGACATCCCTATACCATTTTCCTAGAAAAAGAGAAAACAGCAACTCATCAAAATGATTGAGAGAAGTAAAGAAAATATCCCTCTTCACCTGGACCTCATCAATTTATAAATAAATAGATTTATTTGTAACTGGCCACACTTTCCAGGGACCCAAATACAGCATGATTTATTGAATGACAGAGAGAATTTATGGGGATAATACAAGCTTTCCCTAAAAGAATCAATTCTCTGTAATGCAGACCAATTAGTAAATACAGAAAAACACATTTCAGAGTTACTTCCACACCATTGATTCATTTCCCAAAAATACAGTCCTAGCAGGAAATTTCAAATGGAAATATTAATGATGGGCAAACTAAAGGCTATAAAGAACTGAAGGAAAAAAATAAACCTAACATTTTGAACACAGAATAAAGTCCAGTCTAACTTCTCAGGGTTGGATAAACTATCAATTCAGCATATCCCAGAAACATTTGCTAAAGAGGAAGGGGGAAAAAAGAAAATCAGAGAAAAGATCCAAACAATTAGTAGACAAACGATTTTAGTTCTGGCATTTCCTAGCATTATCATCCTTGATTATATATATATTTTTTTTTTCTAAAGTAGTTTTCTGTACAAAAGCAGAAAATCTGGTATGTGGCATCCTGCAACATTCTCCAGTACATCAGCAAGGAGGAAACGTTTAGGTCCACCACAAAGATCTCAAATGATCTTCCATGAAAGATAACCTATCTTTCCAGTGCTTACATGACAGAATGAAAAGAATAGTTTTTACTAAAACCTCCTCAGCATTCAGCTTCAATGATTGAAGTTGAATTGGAGTGATAGTTATGGCTCTTTCATTAGTGACATAGTATCAGCCCCACAAGATCCCATGTCACAACAAAAATAACTGTGTGCCCTGATCCCTCCTGGTCTACACCCTCTGATTCAAGTTGGGGTGGGAGCTGCAGGAATGGGAGTCTGTCAGAGAGGTTATAAGCATAAATTATCAAATACAACAATCATTAGCTTTTGGCATGATAACTAACTGTGATGCTTTTCAACTGTGGCTTTGATTTTTCTTTTTTAATTATTTTTTTCAGAATAACCATTTTTCTGACTTTCTGGACAAAAAAACTGGTTATACAACGACCAACATGTTGGCAGTCCCAATTACGCAGGGTAAAGAGGTGCTTGCTGTTGTGATGGCTCTCAACAAATTAAATGCCACTGAGTTCTCAAAAGAGGATGAAGAGGTAATAACCTCAAATGTTATACAACAGCACAGTTTAGTTCACAAAGTAGTCTGAGTGAATCTACTTCTTGATTTGAAACTGTTGTCTATTTTTTTTTTTCTTTTAAATCATTTTTAGGTCTTTAAAAAATACCTCAATTTTATATCTTTGGTCCTAAGAAACCATCATACATCATACCTCTACAATATTGAATCCAGAAGAAGTCAGGTAAAGAAGGATTTGTTCATGATAATACTTTGTTTTTAAATGAGACTATTATGCCCACTATTTTATATTCTCACTAGATTATTGAAGTAAGAACGGCATCTATTCAATTATTTTGTTTGTTTGTTTGTTTTTATTTTTGTTTTATTACAGTAGTTCAATTTATTCTTTTATTCTGGAATACTCAATATTCATATGTGTTTTGTTGTTGTTGTTGTTGTTGTTTTTTCATTAAAAACACTTTACCATTGTGACAATTTACCCTATTTCTCTTTTGTTGTAAATAGATGCTTTTGTGGTCTGCCAACAAAGTATTTGAAGAGCTAACAGACATAGAACGGCAGTTTCACAAAGCGCTGTATACTATTCGAATGTATTTAAATTGTGAAAGATATTCTGTTGGTCTCCTGGACATGACCAAAGAGAAGGTAATATTCATTTTGCCTACCTGTGAGAAACGTGTTACTCCTAACTTTAAGTTATAAAGTCTGTCCTTCTAGTTTCCTACGTATTTCTAGTGCACCCCTCTCCAAGATAAAAAGATACCATCCCTTCTAATACTTTGGGATAATTCATACAAAATCTGACTGATTTACAAAATAAGCATGGCAAAGTACATGATTAATATTAGGGCTAATTCTGAAATAATTTTTCATATTAATAAAAATATCTGAGTAAGGAAAGAAGTGTAGTCTGATTATTGCTTTATAAATGCCTGCTTTCTAAAACAACAATTAAAGTGTACAGTTGGAGAGATAAGCTTCATATTCATCTGAAATTTACTGGTTAATTGCCTGGAATATCCTTAACGTTTTCTTAGTTTTGTCTGAAATGTGACCACACAACTGTTGTGGAGAAAAAAAAAATGTTATCTGCAGATTTCATGTTACCTCTGAAGACAGACCCGATGTTTTCCCTTTTGCTAATGCCTGTGTATTATTTTCCCAGGAGTTCTATGATGAATGGCCAATTCGGCTGGGGGAGGCAGAGCCTTACAAAGGCCCCAAAACACCTGATGGAAGAGTGAGGATATTCATTTTTCTTTTTATGAGTCTTAATTCTGATGTTGAGTGCCATGTCACCTACATGTTTTTCTCTTTTTACTTAGGAAGTCAACTTTTATAAGATTATTGACTATATTTTACATGGAAAAGAAGAAATCAAAGTTATTCCGTGAGTATTCATTGGCAGCCTGTGAATATGTGGTCATTAGATTTATTGCTGGTATAGAATAATAACGTGTCTGTATCTGCAGAAATCACCTAATTTCATTCTCTCTCTAAAGGTCACCTCCAGCAGATCACTGGTGTCTTATCAGTGGATTGCCAACATATGTTGCTGAAAATGGATTTGTAAGTTCATAGCAAAAGTAAAAACTCTTAACCTTAAAGTTTTAATCCATGCAGTACTTCTGATCGGAAAAAAAAAAAAAAAATCAACAAAACAACCTTCCCTATACCAAAAAGGCTCTATAAAAATACTGTGCTGCTTCCAGAGAAATCATGTGAAATCATAGTCTGGACAGAGACAAGCCCTCAGCACAAATAGTCAATTATGGTGACATCAGAGGAATAAATTGTGTGTCTGATGTCATTTTGCAACTGTGTGAACTATGTTAAATAAAAAATGTAAAAGTAAGAAAATCATTTTATATACAGTTCTATTTTTTTTTTTTCTTGCAATAAGTTGGAAAACATGGGTTGGGCCAAGTGAGCCAGAAAGTACGTGTAGCTCCCAACTAGTACAGCGCTAGTTTAACATGGCATGTAGCATAGCCTAGATACTTAACTCAAAGTCATGGTGAATGACAGATATTAGTCATTTTACAGCATTTGTAACAGCAGTAAGGACGAAGCCCTGGGAATAAGTACTCATTTGTTTATTTCTGCAAATCCCCATGCCATTTTAAACTGGCATGGTAGTGGTTTTCTTAAGCCTTATGCACTGAGGCATCATACATGAGGCACTTTGTTATAAGCACTCCAGAATTCTGTTACAATAACCGCAACTGCATTAATAGGAATGGTTTTACTTTTTGTAGCTAGCTAGGCTGCTGACTGTTTTTACCTTAGCAAATATATATGCCTTCTTTAAACATTAGGACAAGTTTAGTGTTCGTTACATTGCCTTTAAACAATGCCCCCTTTTCTTTCTACTGCAGATTTGTAACATGATGAATGCACCAGCAGATGAATATTTCACATTTCAGGTAATTCCAGTGATGATAAGAGTTATAAACTTTGTGGAAAATATGCTAGTGTTTTCCACCAATTAGTTATACATTTGGATACATAAACAATTCTGTAATTTGTAGGACTTAATGTTAAATTGCCTATATCAATAGCTGTACTACTTTAAAAGAAATATGCAGTATTTCCTGCTCTCTGGCTTTCCTACAGAAAGGACCTGTGGATGAGACCGGATGGGTTATCAAAAACGTCCTCTCGTTGCCTATTGTCAACAAAAAAGAAGAAATTGTGGGAGTTGCAACATTTTACAACAGGAAAGATGGAAAACCTTTTGATGAGTATGATGAACAGATCATTGAAGTAAGCTTAATATCATTATAGGCTTTAAGGAGCGATATGATGCTAATCAAAATATTATTGTAAAAACATTTGATAATATCTAGAAATTTCTAACAGGCTCTATTAAGATCAACAGAAACACTATCTTCTTCGCCATAGAATTTCTTAAGAATCAGAGAATTTTATTGCCCTTTGTAAACCTGAAAATTTATGAGTTCGTTTATGTTTCAATCGTAAACAAAAGTCAGGTGTAATTTTTATTTTTAGTCATTTGACTTTTTAATGATGGTCAACATTCCTAATTAATGTGAGTGGGTAAAAAACAGAACAGAATAGAATAAAATGGAATAGTTCAGGTGGAAGGGACCTTCAAAGTTCATTTAGTCCAACTGCCTGACATGTTCAGGGCTAACCAAAAGTTTAGCATATTACTGAGGGCATTGTCCAAATGCCACATGTAAGCAGGTATGCCATGCTGCTTACCAAAGGACATAATGCCTGCAAGCATAAACTCAAAGGGAGTTCATGCACTTTGGCATGATAAGATGTTACACAGTGCATTCAAGCCCACCCAGCTATCTTAAGCCCCATAAGCCTCAAAGTCCTGTATACAAAATAGGACTATGGGCCCTTAGTTACATAGGTTGAGACAAACAACATCATTAAAAGCTCTAAGGGTCTAACAGAATCTGCTGATGGAAGGTAAAGGTCTCTAACAGGTAGAGTTGCACGTTGCTGTTTAAAGGGCACTACCAGAAACTGAACTTAAAAAAAAAAATATTCAAATCATCTGTTCAATTTTATTGTCATGTTGTCATTTCCACTTTGCTTGGCTTTGTTCTAGACTCTTACACAATTCCTGGGGTGGTCTGTCTTAAATACTGACACTTATGACAAAATGAACAAGCTTGAAAACAGAAAAGACATTGCTCAGGAAATGCTAATGTACCAGACAAAGGCCACTCCTTCTGAAGTTGAATCTATACTGGTGAGTTTCAGTCCACAGTCACAAAATTAAAATAGGAAATTTGCTACACAAAACTGAATATGATATTCATTTTTCATTTTTAGAAATACAAAGAAAAATTAAATGTAAAGAGTATAGAAGAATGTGATGAAAAGGATCTTATCAGGATTTTGGTAAGTCAATAAACTAAAAATTTGACTTTTGAAAGCATGTTGACATCAGATGGTAATGGACCCTCCTTACAAGAAAACATTGTATATAGATAAATTCTGTTTAATATGATTAATATTAGCCATCAGTTCCACAAGCTAGATCAAGCTAATTTGATTTAATAATACATCTTCAACTTCATTGGTTCCTCCATGTGCACATCCCACTGGTACCTACAGGGAAACATTCTGTCTCAAATATGTGTTGACAGACTTGGATAGCCAGAGTTATATAGAAACCTTTATATGAATAAACACTTAAAGTGTTGAACTCCATTAAATGTCCACATGAACAGTGCTATCCCTATAATTATATTTATTTCATTTTGGACATAAAAGAGGATACCTTGATCTAGGTTGCTTTCATTTTGAGTAAGAGAACACATACAGAAGCGTCCAGTAGAACTAACCTAGTTTCTCATGAATTTTCCTGTATTTCTCTAGACAGAGAAGTCTTACTGTAACTAAAACAAAACTAAAAGATGTGCTTCAGGAAAGCACCAAATGCACTCTGACTGTTAATGATCGAAATAGAACTAGGTTGAAAAAGAAACATCAAACACACACAAGTCTGTTGACCTCCAATATCAGCCATGTATTTCCTCCTATTACACCACATTTGCTAATGCAGGCATGTGTACATGCATGCCAGGGTTCAATGCTGAAGTTTCACTGGCTCCCACAGAACAGATGCTCACACAGCTTGTAAGTGGTGAAACACAAAAACATCAACAGTCCATGTGTAGCTCCACACACCTTTTAAAGAAAACAGAGAGAAGCATTCTTAAATCTCTCTGTTTGCAGAGCAACAAGTGATTAGGATGGTGCTGGCCTTCAAATGTGAAAATATAATAACACTGGTATGAATTTTTAAATCTCCAGAAAGAAAGTAAAATGTGTTCTCTCAACACTGTGGTGTCAAGTATTTAAAGGTCTTATATGTTCTGCACTGCAAAGTCAAAATGCAAATTCTTTATCCTATTTAAGGCCTGGAATCCCAGATTGTTAATGAGATAAAGCAGGTGTTTCTAGATCTGATGATTCACAAAGTAATGGGTCTTAAAACACCAGTGCCCCAGGTTTTTTTGTCCTTGACCTCTGAGCAGAGTAAATTTAAAGGAAAATCCAACCAAAGGAGAAGGCAATGCTCTTCCATGGATGTTCAGCATTATTTGTTGAAATACATGCAGAGGGGGAAATAGATTTAGAATTTTCCTTATTTGTAAAAAGAAGATCATTTATTGGCTATGTGGGAGAAGGGAATAATTGTGGTCATATAATATATTTTTGTGTTGCAGCAGACATCCTTTAAAATATACTACTGCTCTCCTTAGGCTTTGGACGTACAAATGGAAAGCATTACAGCACAGTTTGCTAATATCGTTATTACCAGTTAGGCTATTCAATGTGAATCCATATAATGTATACAACATGAAATTTAATACAAGCTTCTTAACATTTGTATCCTCTGAATTTTAGAATTTAGTAAATGCTTTCTGGACATTCTTTAGTACAAGGAAGAGCTGACCTAAGCTCTGTATCTGCTCTTCAGGGAGAGAAAAGTCTTTGAAAGGCATCCAGCTAGCATCTGATAAAATCTAGTATGTGGGGAAAATAAAATGCACTTATACTGTCCACTACTTCTGGAATGATCCCTCATTTTCATCAGTGGTCAGGATTGTTCAGAACAGGCTGCTCTAAACCACAGAGGACGCTTCTAATACAGAATCACCACCAACTACAGCAGTAAAAAGGAAATGACTAAGGGATTTGAAGTAAGCCATAATAACTGAAAACTACAAACTTGGTACATTTAAGCATTGTATCAATTTTTATTGTATGCATATATTGAGATCATTCAAGAGCAAAGCAGTCAAGAACCTATTGAAAGCAAACAAGAACGTAAGTAAAATTATTCAGCCACTCAGACTATTAGTTGTGAATTTTTACAATTGATTTGTAGGTTTTTCCACTCTGCTTTACATCTGCCAAATAATCCCTACAGATTTCTCTGTGAAGTGTATACAGGTTATCACAGACACAAAGAGAGATTGTCAAAGCAGACAGGATGAGGCAGAGTAATTTAGACAGGGTTAGACAGACTAATTGGTTGTGGACCATCAACAAACCACCAGCACTCTAGAGGTTTAAAAATGTACAGGAATCCTTGCTTGGCTGTAGGCCAAAAGGGAAGAACACTTTTACCAGGAAAAGCTGGGATTGTTTAATAATTTTCGCTGTGAAAAAGATTAACTGCAGCTTTGAGATCAGGGTAAAAGTGGGAAGCCACCAAGGCCTGCGTCTTCATAGCTAAGGAATTGCTGAGATTGTCACAACCAACTGTTCTGGAATTCAGGGTAGGAAGAAACACCACCTGCCCAAGACTTTTACCTATTCTCTTGGAGAAGAAAAACAGCAGTACCACCATTGTGTTTCAAAACTTAATGTGCATTAGATTCTACGGAAACCTGAGGTCTTTGACCATAAAGCAAACATACTGTCCTTATGCAATGTTTCCACTGAAGAAAGAACATTTTTCCCAACATTGTTCGGCCATAAAAATCCTTGTGCTTTTAACTTTCCCTAACAGAAGGAAGAATTACCTGATCCAAAAGATTTAGAACTATATGAATTCCGCTTCAGTGACTTTCCTGTTACAGAGCATGGCCTGATAACTTGTGGAATACGACTGTTCTTTGAGATAAATGTTGTCGAAAAGTTCAAAGTCCCAGCAGAGGTCTGACTTTTTTTTTTTTTTCATCTTGTTTATGTTTCTTTTAAGATAGAAGAAAAATAGCTGGCTGATGGTACTTTAATATAGAAGTAAGCTATATTAAGTACGAATAGGATTAGTTATTGTATGGATAACAATATTCATTCTTAAGCATTTGCATGTCTGTCATAAAGTCTTAAAACCGATCCTGAAATTGTGTGATTTGCGGAAGGAATTAAATCAACATACATTTATATAAGAACATTCTGGTGTTGCCATGTTTAATTTAATAGAACTTGCATGTTATCCGAGTAATTTTACAGTATGTTCCATTAATTTTATAGAAATTTCATAATTTTTTTTCAGTTAACAGCACAGTATCAACCACTTTTAATCATAACAGGTCCTTACAAGATGGATGTACACAGTCAGGAAGGGCTATCGAGATATCACATACCACAACTGGCGGCATGGATTCAATGTGGGACAAACAATGTTTACGCTGCTGATGGTAATACTGCTAATATTAACTTTACATTCATTATTTATTTTTTCTTTCAAGGCAGGTACACACTCAGAGTTGTTCGTTTTCTTTTACAGACAGGCAGAATAAAGAAATACTATACTGATCTAGAAGCCTTTGCGATGGTTGCTGCTGCTTTCTGTCCATGACATTGATCACAGAGGAACCAACAACCTGTACCAGATGAAGTAAGTGCAAATACTCAAATATATGGCTATGAAGTATTTTTAGTGGTAAATGAAAACAAAACAAAACAAACAAACAAACAAACAAAAAACAAAAACAAATGAACAAAAAAGTCAACACATGGAAAAATATAATGTAGATATTTCAGTTTATATAGCATGAATGGACATTCATCCTACAGAAGATTCCTTCCTCAGTATCTGTCAGGTCTGCTGAACCAAAGATAAAATGCAAAAAAAGAATTTTGGAAGGATCTGCTGGAGCTGTGGATCATTTTTAGGAGAGCCTCAGCTCTTGCAACACTTATAGTGGAGCCTTATGCACAGGAGACCACACAGAAATGAGAAAAGAAAATTAACGAGATAACAAAGCCAAAATTACTGGCAGTGAGCGGGAGCACAGAAACCTGCAGAGTCTAAAGTGCTAATTGATTCGTGTAGGACCTACAAGGACTTCTGCCACAGATTTGTCCTCAGCAGCAAGCCAAGGTTGAAGGGGAGACTGAAGCCTCAGAAGTAATCATCACTCCTTTTCTCTTCTTTAATGCCTTTCAGCATGTATAAAAGCCCCTATCTAGATGACGGTTGTTTTAAGTTCATGCCAGACCTCTGTAGCTCCCAATCTGAAAATTGGTTCAGGTGCCATAAGAGGAATTCATCGAAGCAAATGAGACGGCTCTGCTACAATGTGATCAAAAGGACAAGAATTATTTTGCCTCTAACATTTTTAAGTGAAAAAATATTTAAATGAAGATCAAGAAGACAAAAAAAATATTCTGGGACAACAACAGTTAGGCTAGAAATATAAAAACATCTATGTCTGTTGATATTACAGTAGGAAAAAAAAAAAAAATAAAACCAAACCAAAACAAACAAAAAAAACCCACAAAACAGTTACAATACCAGTATGGCAGACAAATTCATAGGACTTATCTGTCATAGCCAGCAAAATCCAAAATCAAACTTGTGTTCTCTTTCTTACTGCACCAGCAGTAACATAAAATTAGCTTCAACAAAAAGAGTAGAAAGTCCCTAACTGGATTTATTTTTTCAAGATAGGGCAAATTCACTTTTCTGGAGAGGAATTCATGATGTTGCACAGACAAGGGTCAGCTTATAAAAAGACAGGATTTCAGGTGCATTCTTTTTCTCAGTTTTCTACTGGCTGATTTGCCCAGCTTTTTTGTTCCCTCCAGTGAGTTTACTGACATGACGTAAGTCCTTTCCTGAGGTGTGATCTCATCATATTATATAGGATTCTGAACTATTGAGATTGCTTTCTGCCATGGGATTCGTTACACGTCATGAAGTTATGCTTTGCAATTCATGATACTTTGTTTTCTGAGTGTGTAAGATATTCTAAAGGATTTCTTTGTGATCTTTCCCTTGTTGATACTAGGTTTTGGTTGAGATATTAATAACAATAATGTTAACAATATTATGTAATATGAATTAATATTGTTAACATTTTAACATTATTGTTATCATTAATATTAATATCGTTAATGTTAACATTAACGTTAATTAATATAATTAATATTAATGTTAACAATAATGTTAAAATGTTAACAATATTAATTCGTATTACTTTAAACTTGCCAGTTTATTACAACATTACATATCATGGTGAGACCAAGTACTCTCTTGAAGAGTGATCAATCTGTCCTTTAGTCTTTCATGTGATTTATTTGGGTTTCTGTGTGCTAGGCAGAGAACACAGGTATCTCAGGATGTCATGTGTACCAGGAGATTATAAGCGTAATTTTTGGAGTACTATTTCCCACCAGCTGTATCTCCAGAATGATTCATCCTCCTTCTCTGCCCCTGGACGCACTCTGCCCAGGAGAGCAGTTTCAGACTGCATGCTGGAGCAGTGACGTTAGGGGATTTTCTGATTATTCTCTGGGATTCTCCAGGTGACGTAGGAGAAAGAGAATGACAGACACTGATTCTTATTCAGCTGACTGCCTCTCATCCAAATAAGTTTAAGGGGTTTTAAAATCTTCCTACTGTGGTCTTCCCCAGTTGAAAGCCCTCTAGTTGAGGTCATATGCGGTAAAGCTATTTATAAAAGCTATCAGCTTTGCTGTTACAGCCTGGAAGTCTGCCTCCTCTACACTGGCAGAAAATACAGGTAGCCTATACCAACCCACCTTAGATTATCTCAGGAATTAAGTTTTTGGCCAATGGAGGACAGGAGGAAAATATGCATCCAAACATGCTGAACCACCTATAATATAGCTAGGACACTTCTCCCTTCCTCCTGCTGACATAGTCTGAAGCAGAATTACCTCTTCTTGAAGTCTACCCCAGAGGGATGCTTTGATGCTTTGAGCTATGTGCTAAGACACATTGAACACATCTGAGCTGTCAGGATTTGTGCAGTTCATAAAACAATGACTCTGAGGGAAGGGAGGAGCCAAAGGGTGCCTGAGGAATTAAACTCTATTATACCATTATTTAGCTTCAACTTTAGTGAATTAGTATCACAGGAGACATGCTCCACAGTGATTACCGACAGACAACAGTTCAAAAGCCATGCCACACAATAAATACTGAATGATGGATACAGGCCCTTTTAAGGTAACACAGAAACTGTGTACATTAAACAAACAGCAAAATAGAATGTGCAAGATGAAATTGTGGCACATTTTCTAAAAGACAGTTTTTGAACTTTGAGGCCTCTCCTTTGACTGTCAGCGGGCACTGAACACCCAGTACTCTTACTGCCTCATACTAGTGGTCAATATATAAATTAAACTATTGAATATGCAGATCAGAAGCATTTGAATCACAATCATAAATAAAAAAGAATGCCTTCAAAATAGTATAAACAATCATCTCTTTTTCAATAGATCAGCTGCTCCACTGGCAAAACTTCATGGCTCTTCCATTTTAGAAAGACATCACCTAGAGTACAGTAAAACCTTACTGCAAGATGAGGTATGTTTGCATGAATCTTCTGCTTACACTGATCAACACAAAAGATCCAATTAAGTTATGACATTACAAATTTCTCCAGCTTTTATTCATTTCTCTAATTCTGAAATAAGAAATTATGCTCAAATTCATAAGTTTAAAACAAATTCTTATGTACTGTCTACTTTAGAGAAAAATCAGTAATTTTGCCAGAAATTGATTCTCTCAAGATAAAAAAAGCTTGCCCTGTGGGCCTCACTCACATGCCTCAGTTCTTCCTGCTTTCACTAAAAATCTGAAGTATAAAATACATGGTGATGTAATTAGAGTGCTGCCCCTCATTCTGAGTTCAGTTGTTGGCTCTGGCAACTGAGGAACAAAGGGATGAAGCTGTTTATGGAGGCTCCTCCAGCCCCCCCTATATCTCACTAAAACAGCTAAGGGAGCTTCGTGATTCTGTGGCAGCTCCCATTACTGCTCTTCCCTGCATTAGATGTTTTCTCTCTTCTCTTCTGCCACCTTATATGTCTCTACCCCCCTCTCCCTATCACTTTTCATACCCCTGCTGCCTCAGCCTGGGCAGGCACATGCCTTTCTTTGGGCCCACAGGGGCACTGTGTGGCCATGCACAGTGACATGAGGGCCATGCACAGAGGGCATAGGGCGCCCTCAACCCTCCCCAGGCTCAACAAAATGGCGGCACCGTGCGGCCATGTTGTTCCCCCTCAGCCCTCCTCAGGTTCAACAAAATGGCGGCACTGCAACCAGCCAAGGCCTTCTGCCCCGCAGAGCCCTGACCTCCTACATGGGTCAGCCATTCCTCCCTAAGTGGTGCCTGGTTGTTTCCCCACTAAAAGGGAAAAGACTACTTACAACACTTTAAAGGATATTTTTCAGGGAAATAAGAAAAAGACTTAACAGTCTAGGCCTGAAAACTGGTGGTTGGAAGACCCCTTCCAACTTGTTTGCACCAGTGTGGCAGGCACTCACTTCCACATCCTTTTCTAATTTTCTAATCCTTAAAGAAGTACTGACCACTGCAGGGCATAATCAGAATAAATCCTTACACTTACCAGTAGCACAGTGGTCTTAAACACAACAGAATATTTATGATTTAAAAAAAAAAAATTAAAAACTATTTACCTTTATTGATGGAGATGTACTTTTTCAAATGTGAGATGCTGGGGCCTAACCACTGCTTTTTGGTGGAGCAATTTTCAGAATCTTTGAAGGTGTTGAACTTGGTATCTGACACCACAAGCTCTCACATGTATCACCCCATCAGTGATATGTATCCCCTCTGAATACGCTCCAGGGCTTCAATGTCCTTCTTGTACTGAGGGGCCCAAAACTGAACACAGTACTCGATGCGCAGCCTCACCAGAGCAGAGTACAGGGGGACAAACGCCTCCCTAGTCCTGCTGGCTACACTATTCCTGATACAAGCCAGGATGCTGTTGGCCTTCTCGGCCACCTGGGCACACTGCTGGCTCATGTTGAGGCAAGCATCAGTCAGCACCCCCAGATCCTTTTTCCCTGCACAGCCTTCCAGCCACTCTGCCCCAAGCTTGTAGTGCTGCATGGGGTTGTTGTGGCCAAAGTGCAGGACCCAGCACTTAGCCATGTTGAACCTCATCCCATTGGCCTCTGCCCATCGATTCATCCTGTCCAAACCCCTCTGCAGGGCCTTGCTACCCACAACACTTCCCCCAACTTGGTGTCATCTGCAAACTTACTGAGGGTGCATTCAATTCCCTCATCCAAATCATCAGTAAAAATATTAAAGAGGATGGGCCCCAACACAGACCTCTGGGGAACACTACTGGTGAACAGTTGGCAGCTGGATTTCACTCTGTTCACCACTACTCTCTGGGCCCGGCTGTCCAGCCAGTTTTTAATCCAGCAAAGAGTGTACCTGTTCAAGCCATGGGCAAAAGAATTACTGCTCCATAATCATCTGTAAGGACACCAGACAAGATATATTTAATCTACTAGACTATCTTGACGTTAGATTGTGCATAGGCCCTGCCCATCATTTTAACAACCCCACTTGTAGAAATGAGCATTTGATTTCTTCATTGGCCGTCAGAGACTACCATAACTGCAGGTCTGAAAGTGCAGGGTAGCTTTCTTTGCCATTATTCTCTGCCTATGCTCTTATTCTGAAAGAGGAAAGCTAAACTATACCTTTCTCTTCCCCTTTAACCTATAAGATTAACTATGTTGGCCAGAAGTAATTCATCTAGAATCACTTACCTGAAAAGAGTAGCTTTTGTATTCTGTATATATAAATATCATACTTTACCATAAATTGCTTCAGCCAGTCAAGATTTGGTTAGTATATATGACATTGTTGGGAAAAAAAAAAAAAAAAGGATATTTTTATTTGGATCTCAGTATTTGACACTTGTGTAGCAGTAATTGACAGAATGGTATTAAAACTTAAGAACTGGTCTTGAATGAAGGCCATCTTTGACAATTGAAAAACTTTTAATTTGTAGCGTTATGTTGATTTAGGCCATACATGCAGTTTTGTTATACTGTACTGGACAGGGTGTATACTACAAACCAAAGACAGTTTTATAAGAGGAATTGAATTCGTAAACTTTCCATCTTGCAGAGTTTAAACATCTTCCAGAACCTAAATAAGCGCCAGTTTGAAACCGTTCTACACTTATTTGAAGTTGCAATAATAGCAACTGACTTGGCATTGTATTTCAAGTAAGTACTAAATTCTGTGTAACTTCCTACTGAAAAAAAACTCGGTCCTATATGATTTACATCTGTAGTTTACTTGTTATGTGCAGAGTACAGAGCTGTATTTTAAATTGTTTTTAATAACTCTTAATTCTTATCAGAAAAGAAAAACAAAAACACAAGACATTCTTAGTTTCTTTATAAACTTTCAAATTTAGTTAAGTGTCTGTAATACTTCATATACATACAACAGGTCATTCAAATATGCGTTTAGTTACAGCAGACATTGTACATGTATTTCGGAAGTGTGGATTCTGTAGCCTAGTAGTAAGGTTGTCAGCATGTATTTAGTGTACCATACTACAGCTACTCATACTAAACAGGAACATGCTTATGACATGGAAATTGACATTCTGGTTTAAGAACAGACATCAAGTGATCCCAGTGCTAAATATCCGAAAGACTTCAGAGATAAATTACCTATCCTGTTTCAAGTTTACTAACTTAACATGCTTTTAAACAGGGTATTGAGCTTTTGTTTTTTTTTGGTCCAGATGTCTCATGACTTGGACAATTTAAAGCCAGGAGACAGAAAAAGTTTAGTAAGTTGTTCAACAGAAATAAGTTAATTTTAATGAAAATTAACTTTATAATTCATTATATATGCAAATTAAAGGATTTATTAAGCAATAATAAGACATCTATATTTTTCAGAGTTTTCAGTCAGGTTTTATGACTTTTGTTGACATATGACGAGACAGAGTTGAAGAACATTTATTAGCTATTTGTTTCAATTTTCACAATTCATTATGTTACTGGAAGGGATAATATTAAGGAAAATATAATACTAAAACAAGAATGTCACCCCAAACAGTTTAATACGCAGAGTCAGGAAACTGGTTATGTGATTGTCAGGAGCTAGAATATATCTCAATGGTATACAGCAAAATTTAGATGTGTTAGGTTAACTAGAAACCTTGAGTTTGGTGGAAAGAAGGCATCACTCTGAAACTGTTGTGACCAGGATACAATTTTGGAAAAGCATAAATATGAGAAATATGGTTTTCTATTTTTGATGCAGGAATTTTTGTTCACTACTATATGGTTTATTGGTATGTTTTCACAGGAAAAGGACTATGTTTCAAAAGATTGTGGATGCAATTGAAAAAATGGAAACAGAAGAGGAAGCCATTAAATATATATCTATTGACCCAACCAAAAAAGAAGTCATCATGTAGGTGGTTAATATCTTACTTTTTATTCAATCAGTTATCTACAGCCAGATTTTAAAAGTATTTGGGCACCTAGATATGTAAGTTGAGACTTGGTGTTATTGTATGATGATGAGCATAACCATGATTTTAAATAAGAAATAGATGTCTACAGGATTCTCAAAAGGTGCATCCATCTGTATCTTAAGTATCTAAACACCTGAAAAAAAATCTGTATTCTTTTTTTTTCCCCTTTCTTTTCTTTCATCATCCTAATCATATTCCATTTTGCCTTACATTTTCAAAGGGCTATGATGATGACTGGATGTGACTTGTCTGCCATAACCAAGCCTTGGGAAGTACAGAGTAAAGTAGGTACTTTTCAGACAGTGCTGCATTTGCTGGCTGTTTTATTGCCCATTTGCTACATGATCATTAAAAAAATATTTATTACTTATTATCATTAGATAGATATTTAACTATTTGCACCCAACTATCTTTCCAGAAAACAACCTTTATTTATCTGTCACTGAGAGCATAAGGGTTCCATGATGCCCTCTTCCACCCACACTACAGTTTATCTACCCTTTTCTACTTGTCAGTCAGCTAAAATCTCTGATTCTGTCACCTGTTCTAGCTACCCTTAAATCTTAATCCATTATTTTTGTGTTATCCAATTTTTGCTATTTTTCAAGTACTTTTAAGGTACAGATTTCACAACAGCACAATTTGAATGAATTGTGCTTCTTCTGTAGATCTTGGTGCTGTTTCAAAGTAGCTTAATCATGCTAAAAATAAATTCAGTAATACAGTGTGACACTGTGTTGTAGATAAGTACCTCAAATACTTCAGTACTTATTGACCATCACACTCAAGTTCATCTGTTAGTCTTACGGATATAGGTTTTAATAACGCATAATCCAAATACAGCTGCAAGATGCTTGTGGAGCATTCTACATAATATGCATTACAAGAACTAGAAGATTCTGTTGTGTTGATAGTATTGTCATGGTACTGCTGATGATAATCTGTCATTCAGTCAGTATGCACCAGAATTTCAAAATGGTAGATATTTTACTTGCTGGAAAAAGCACACCAGAGATTGTCTGTAATTCTTGAAAGAAATACTCAACTATCTCAGAAGGGATTAATGAGTGGAATTGAATTGTTTTTGACCATAATTCTCTGTTTATAATGCAGCTAGCAAGAAATAAATGCTCTTTTGTGGGTGTGAAGTTAAATACCAAATACCAAATTGAGAATACATTGATTTAAACAGTATTATGCCAGTCTGAGTTAATCAACATTTTCAAATTTTCTGGAAAGCTTTGTCCTTTCCTTTATCTATTTATTTATTTATTAATTAATTCATTCAAATTGACTACTTTCTGCTTACATTTCCATTGAATTATGATTCTCAGGTTGCCCTCATGGTTGCAAATGAATTCTGGGAGCAAGGTGACCTGGAACGAACTGTGCTACAGCAACAACCAATTGTAAGCACTAAATAATTTAACTGTGTTAAGCAATATTATCTCTTGTTTAAATATTGAATAGATAATTGTCCATGATGATTATTAGATCATTACATCCAAAAGAATGATGTCTGCATGATCTAAATTACTGCTATTCTGTTCTAGCCCATGATGGACAGAAACAAAGGAGACGAACTACCTAAGCTCCAAGTTGGTTTCATAGATTTTGTGTGTACATTTGTGTACAAGGTAAGAATAATATTTTTGGTTTTCCCACTACAGCAGTTCTGATGGAGCAATTAGGGACAAACCATTGCATCAAATAAAATCTAGAGAGCAGCAGGATTCATATTTATAGGGTAAATAACTATCACAACTACCACAATTTTTCAATCTTTTGTTACATAGAAGAATTGCTACCACAAAGCAAATTCAAGAGGTGATATTAACTGAAGATCTCAATGAAACTCAAGGGCACTTAAGTTTTGTTACTACCTTCCTTGAAAGACTGAATTAGAAAGCCTAGCCTGAATCTTCAGTCCCATTTAGTATAAATACACAACATGTACATGGTTACAGAATCCAATTAACGGCACAGTGAAGGGAACAGAAAACTTGCAACATTCTGGAAGTATAGCTATTATGTGTCTTCTAGAAAGCAATGAAATGTCAACATTGTTAATAACCATCTAGCTTTTCGTATTAACCCAAAATATCACAGAAAAACAATGTGTACCTGAAGATATGAAAATATTACATCTGCTTGGAATATACTATGGGATACTAGACTTTATCATTATATTCTGATATTTATAATCACATGATAAAATACCAGGTATCATAGAATAAACCACCATTGCAGGCCACCAAGAATATGCTCTCAAATATGCACTGGCAGGTACTGGCACATTTTAAAAATGTTTTTCCATTCTGTAGAAAAAAACACTACCAGATAATAACACTACCAGATACTTTTGCAAGTGGTTGCAAAAGAAAGTGAAATCAAATAAAATTAATTCATCTAGTATACATACTGAAATAATTAGATTTAATAGAAAAACGAATTCAAATGTTTTTATCTGCAAAGCAGCAGTATTTCTGGGAATTCAGACTTTAGAAATCATCAGTGTTTACAATTTACTAATTAGGAAATTTTCTAATTTACTAATTACAAAATTTTCTAATTTACTAATTTTTAATTTAAATTGATTGTACAGGAATTCTCAAGGTTTCACAAAGAAATTACACCTATGTTCGATGGTCTTCAAAACAACAGAGTTGAGTGGAAAACACGGGCTGATGAATATGAAGAAAAGATGAAAGTAATTGAGGACCAAAAGAAAAAGGAAGAAGAAGAAGCTGCCAAAAAAGGTTAAATAACTTCTAAGATTTTCCTTCATGTATATGTAAGGCAGTCAACGTGTTCTCTCTCTGTAAAATTCACACATGCAATACACTTGTGCAATATTCTTAACACTAATGATATGTGAGTTCTGATTTAGCCAAATTAGCTTTATCCTTAGTTGAAAGAGGAGTAACCTTTCAAGATGACACAAATCCAGTACACTGACCTCATTTTCTAAACTGCATGATTACAGAAAATGTTAATAACAGAAGTGAAGGGAATGTAAAATTTCTTTATTCTTAAGACATAAAACTGAATGTAATTAATCACCTCTATTTATCTGTCAATGTTAACAACCACCTGAAATATGAGATGTATCAAAATTCTGCATGGCATCAGCCTCAAATGTATTCACATGCTTTTTTTAAGCTAAAAACAAAAACTTAAGGAAAAGGGATGAGAATGGACAGTGTGTTTTTGGAACATCCCCGCTCCTCTTCCAAGTTTGAGATAAAGCTTTTGGCTCTAGTTTCCTGTCATCAGTTCCTTGGTTAAAATATGCTCTCATAGTACAAATTTAACACTAATCTAAGAGAGCCCAAGTCCTTAAATTGAAAGTATGGCTTTGCATATGATAACCCAGAAGATAATCTCATTTTATAGAAACTGAGAACCTATCACCCAAGTGTAAGAGTGAAATTAGTCAGTTACTTTTATTCTGTATTACATGTGGAGCATGAGCTCTGGTAATCAGCTGAGATGACTGAAGAAATTCAGAGATTAAAAAACAAATTGTGATTTCTAGAGAATGATTCATTGTCAGCTAATTTAAAGAACAGTTAGTTTACTCTTACAGTTTATATTGCATCTGTAAAACAAAACAGTACTGAATATTTGTTGATCAGTGTCTGTGGGAAATAGGTGAGTATTTTCCAGATTTCACACAAAAGAGAGGTTATTCAAGGCTACCCATCAAGTTACTGTCAGAATTTGAAGCAGAACTAGAAAGTTATTGGCTCCTAAAAAAGTTGTTAATAGGCTACAATTTTAAAAATGTTCCTGTACTTATTAAGAAAGCACTGTAAGCTACATGATTTAATCAGAGCAGGTTTTTGAAAGAGATCTGAGTCAAGTTATTATTGTACCAACACATTTTTTAAAGTTTAAAATGCATTGTATTTTATCAGGCCAAATTAAATATTATCCTCCAAACAGTTAGCATGTATATTCTTACATGAACTGTTAAACAACTTACAATAAAACTATATGAAATATTTTTCACACTGTGATACCACTTACAATCTCATAGGAATTAAGCCCACTCCATTCTCTCTCTGTTTTATTTTAAAAGGCTTTTTTTATTTTTTTTCCCAATTAATCTTATAATTTTATTAATTTATTGCTGAGAACTAGCTGGTCCTGAATATGAACACTGGGATGTAAGCATCTGAGTTTCACAGAAATACCAGCAAAAGCCAAACCTCATTACATATTTGCTTTTTTAGCAAAGAAGATAGTTACTGAAGTCTCTGTTCTTAAGGTTCCTCTTAGCTAGAAATAAAGTAATAGTTTAGGAATTTAGAACTTTAGGAAGAATCATATACTGATGTTCCCACCTGAAGGCAGGACCATCTCACATCATTGGTATTTTGGAGTCAGTTAAATCACTGACTTAGGGAAAGAAATATTTTCCCACAGGGAACTTTACACAGGCTGGCATGGACAGACTGATTTACAGGAGTTAAAGATCTGGTCTTCTTTGCATATCATAATTAGTATAAAAAAATACAAGTGAATTATTTTGTCTCTTTCAAAATTTGCATTGGAATGAGGTCATGCACATTTGTGAAGAACAGATCTGACACTGTCAAATCAAGGCCATGTAAATATATGCGTTTGTTAAATCAGTTCATACAAACAATACCATGATGCATGCTGAACCACGGTCATTTCTCTAGATCACACTGACCTGGCTATTCTGAGCCATTCAGTAGACAGAAAACAAAATAAACATACTTGCTGAACCACTACAGTGGAAAGTTCAGAACAGAAACTAAAACAGTATACAGTATTTAACTAAGAAAATAAAATACATATTTAGTAACATAGTGTTGATTATATCCACAAATTACAGAGGGTAGGACACTGATTATGTGACATGTTTCAATGCAGGTGGAAAGGGTCGAAAATGACCTAGTAACATGGTGATCCACAGCTTTCAAATGTAAGTTTTAATTCTAATATTGGTATCTTACCTTAAATGAATCTGGAAACACAATTTATTACATTGGAAGAATCTTAACTGTGACCAATAAACATCTGTGGAATCATTTGAGTGAGATATTAACAGAATCAGTAGCTATAGATAAGAAATATTTAAGCAGTCTTTCTCTTAACTGGTTATTACCATGGGATTCATGCAGGGTTGGATCAAAGTTCATACAATTAGGTCAAATTAAATCTTGTATTATCTCCTTCAAAAATAATTTCAAAGATGATATCGAACCAAGAGTTTCTTTTGCATGGCTTGCATACTTCAGTTTTGTATGTGTGGGAGAGAGTTATATAAACTACTGAAACTTTCCAGGGAGAGTGGTTCAGTGTGTTTGGTCCTTAAGAAATGGGGTATCAACTGGTACTTCATATACTTACATGTACTTATAGTGTGTACTGTTGTTACATATTCCATTTTCCCAGACAAGTAGCAAAAACACTTTCAATTTTCAGAAGGTCAAACACATATAATATCCTTATAACAGAAGCAACACTTTTTAAACAAGGAATGAGAGCAACTAAAAGTAACAGGAAATACTCACTTTACTTTTTTTTCTTTTTTTTTTTAGCTGAAAATGCAGCTGGAGGTGGTGGTGGAGGTGGAGAGGACGGAAAATCCAAAACATGTATAATTTTGTAATTTGTCTCAAAGACACTGTTTCTGCTACAGAAAAGATATCGAGAAAGAACTTCAATGAGCCCCAGTGGATTTCTGCTTTGCATAGGATAGTATAGATCAGTCTCTTTACAATCCTCTTGAACACTTGCCGTTTGTTGGAAATAGTTTTCACTGGAGTAAAAGAAACAGTTACAATTAAAAACTGAAAAATCAAAAGACAAATGAAAAAATATTGGTGCAAAATAAGTTACTGTGTGCTCTAAATACTTTTTCATGTCACTCAATTTATATACAGTATTTTTATTAAAATATGTAACTTCTGCACACTGTCCAGGAAAAATATAAATAATTTTGATAGATGTTATATGAAACTACTGAATGAAACCTACCATGTACAATTTAATCAAAAAATTGCAATTTTCATAACATGTATATTTAGATTTTTATATTATGTGTTTTTCCTTAATCTGGCATTGTGTCCTTTTGCATCATACCCAGTACTAAATACAGTTCTAGTGCAAGCATTTCCTTCACTTTACGAGAGCTAAACGCAGTTCTCTGGCTCATATCTATAAACAGCAGGGCCATGGTACAGTCTTTTTTCAAAACTACTATGGATAAATCTGCAAATTATAGTTATAGTTTGGAGAAGCCGCTTCTTTGCCCATGTGCAAATGGCTCTGCCCATAGTTCCTAAACTTAACACCTTTTATTTTAAAAATCTAAAAAGGTACACCAGAAACATGTAAGTGAGAATTTACCGCAATACCTATACCACTATATCTATAGAAGGTTCTACATTCAAATGCATTTTAAAAAGCTCGTACTCCCAATGTACTGTTTTAAAAATACAGTAAATGAACAGAATTTTCTAGTATTTGAAAACCAATTAACTGGCACCAGTTTAATCTTGGGAGCAAGATAACAGCAGAAGTAGAACATCAGAATTCACATTATCTGCCTTTCCACAACCAAGACAGACTGCATACAAATCAGCTCTTTGTAAAAAAAATACCTCCCTACAAAAACCCTCTGTTCTTGAAGCACGACAGAGACCACTCAATGCTTTCTACTCAGGTCACATGAAGTCAGGTCCTCCTACAGATAAAGGAAGGAAAATGGCTACTGTATTGTGCACAGATCTGAATATTCACTGGAACCAGTTCCAAACCTAAGAGGAGCTGGATATCAAAGACAATTCCTGCAAGAAATGATTTTGGCATACAGACTCAATCCTGCCCCCTTTAAACAAAGCAGAACCCTACACTTCTTTTTTTTTCTCTGAAGGGCCCTCAGCATCAAGAGAAGGGAGAGTGATGGAAAGATTTGCTCGCTTATATACCTCTATAAGATGCTGTACAAAGATAGATACTGTGTACAACTATCACTCAAAATTAAAAGTTTCCCACTTATTACATCATTATTTACAAATGGGCCAAATATTTTATGCAAATGTAGTTATGACACAAAACTGGATATTGTGTATTATTCTGTATTAAATGTAGATACAAAAGAAAACTTCTCCAAGGTTGTTTCATCATGTAATTTTATTCAAACTGTATTAAATGATGTATTTAATATATATGCTGTAACATTTTATAAACATATTTTGAAGTCTCACAACAAAGTTAGTTATCCAGCACATACACCTAATATGCAATACTTGCAGCAACAAATACAGCAACACATTCTACAAAAGCCTGTTTGGGCAAGTTGCATACATGTAAGCAGATTGCTGCAGATTGGATTTGGCTCTCAACCAAGCTTGCAAGATGACAGAGAATTAACATTTAAATCCACCTTCTTACCTAAAGAAGCCTTCATGCAAGGCTACGTTTATTTGTTATTCAAGGACACCCTAAATATGTCCTTGTACTGTCATCTATTATGTAAGTAAAAACTGCCTAAAATGTAATTATGTTAAGAAATACTTGTAAATAGTTGTCTACTCATTCATGAGTACTTGTAGTATGTTCATAAATACGCTGCAACCATCTCTGTTACATTTTCCACATAAAATACTTACCATAAATACTTTCTACAAATATATCTACAGTGGAAAACGTTTATAAAAATACTTTTTCTGTAATGCTAACTTTCCTCAACTTGTATTACATGAACACTTAATTCAAGAGTTCATCCTTTTTATCCAAAGTAATTTTCATCCAACAAAGAAAATGGCCACCGTAACTATTCATGTGCAGACTGTTTCTTTGGAAATATGCAATAAAGAATGCTTAAAGTTGTGTTTCAATTTGAAAACAGAGATGAATCCAGTAGGTTTCTCAAGCACTATACATTCTTTACTTGTATATTCAGGATTACACTTTAAAGAAGGATTAACATTCTATCAATGCTAAGGAGATCAGAAACCACAGATAACATACAAGCCACGTGTACCTCTTGAGCGGCAAGACACACACTTTATTAAATCAAAGATTTCAACAGCCATTCAGATTTTTAGTAAGGAGTGGAATTACCAGTCACATCATATTATAAATAAAATTTAAAACAAGGTCACAATGAAAACTTTTTAAAGAGCAGGGGAGATATTTCAGATATGACTTAAATTCAAATAAAATACACCGTTGACAAAAATGAACTTCTCTAATGGCATTTAAAAATACTTACACAGGCTAATACCTGAATATTGAAGTCTACATGACTGATAACTTCAAGGCTATTAACTCTTGTTTAATAAATTACAAACATGAATATAATAAAGTGTATGTTTTTAAACCAGTAATAGAGTCTTCTAAAATGCACTTTACAAAAATCTGGCAATTGAATTTTGGGATAAAATAAAGAACAGCCTACTGTGATATACTGTCAATAAACTATTTTCTTGCTTGTTTACCTTCTTCCAATTTTTACGATAGGGTGTCATAAATCTTTTGCTATGAACTGAAAAAATATTTCTCATATTTCATGAGTACTCAGCTTACGACAAAAAAAAAAAAAAAAGAAAGCTTTTAGCCCTGAAGCCTTCTGCAAAGATAATCCAGTCAGATGGTTCATATGGAGTGACCATGGAAAAGGTATGCTCTCAGAAAGACATTTCTGGTCCCTAATTGTCCCTAGACAATTCATGAAGAAAATCAACCTACATCAATTTCAAATTTCAGAGAAACAAGTCTTGAAAGTATTCATCAAACTCTTCTTCCCTGTAGAAAAATAAAAATATGTCAAAGAAAGTTCTGCTTTTGATCTGTATCTAGGAGACAAATCTTTGTATGAAAAACATTCAGCAGATTTCTGGTCAGAATATGTCTAAATTATGTACCTGGTATAGATCACCTTGACTCACTTTGATTCAATACATTCCCCTACCCTTCACATTTCCTCTTCTGTACAACAGCAGTGATTTCACTGTCATGATAGTTTGACTGTCTAAGATAGTTAACAGGACAGTAGCAGATAAAACAGCAGTGGTAATGTAGCAACTTGACAAAGGTTTATCCTCCAGTGCTGTGTATGTGTCCTCTTATATAGAAAAGGATTCCTAGATTCACTACATAGAAGATTTGACATAACTTTAAATGTCAGAGTCATTAAAACACTCAGTTTCTGCCTTTGCAGTTCCAAATGATCACAATACCAGATAAATGTTAACTGTGATGAACTAACCGTGATTTTTCATCTGTTTCTTGTAGAGGACCTTTCCAAAAATCAGCATCTGAAGGACCATCTTGCACATCTGAATCTGTTAAAAAATTTAGAGTGCTTAAGTAATAAGTTTTGAAAGAATTTATTTATTTACTTATTTATAATAAATAAGTAGGTAGGAAAAACTTTTCATTTTAACCCCAAGAACAAAAAAAATGCATTACTTTGAATGTAAAAATGAAAACATTTTCTAGTCTTATTCAATACAGCACCAAGAAGACTCAGGTATCAGTAACTGATATTTTGGCCAAACAGTAAAAATCATGTCAGAACACTGATCTTGGTAAAACAGCAGTTTTATAATAACAACCACTTTATTACAATACAGTTGTATTACAACATAACTTGTGATACTAAGTGAATGAATTACTTTACTCCTTGAATGACACATCAATGGTAATGTATCAGTGAAATTGCCAGAAAATATAGATTATTACATACATTGTTCCGTGTAAGTATACAAAAGGAGTGAAAAACAAGAAAGTCTCATTATCAGAAATATGCCTTGACTTACAAAAAACAAAACAAAACAAACAAACAAAAAAACCCACCACCACTGTGAAATCTTCCAATAAAGCTTTCCATGGAGACTTTTGGGCATGATCCAAGTTTTCAGAAAACTGCTTTGGGTCTTCCTGTATCTCTACCCTGTATCCTTCCTTATCTAGGACATTCCTCAAAGTATATTGCACAGCACAGCAACAAACAGAAACATTAAGTCCTTTCTTGAGACTCTGCAGCATGAATAAGGATGACCAGAAGATGGGGCTTATTTCACCCGGAAAGAAATTGGGTACTAGAATTACTGAGATACAAAGATAACCACTGCCTAAGCAGTCACTGAGACTCTGAGCACATCCATCTGCAATGCATCTCTGAGGTACTAATAGTTATAGCTGGAAGACTTTTGTTAAAGCTTAGAATTTATTTGGCATGGTGTCTCCTCCCAGTGCTCTCCTATTAATTTTGTGAGTTCAGTAGATATTTCTATTGTTCGATGAAAGGAATTGTAGTACTTACTGTATTAGAAAAGTACTTTATTTACGCAGCACATATTTACATACCTAGAACCGTCCAATTATTAACAATAATTGGGGTACTGTTGCACTGTCTGCTCTTTTCTGGAACAATCTACCCCTTTATTTTCTGGACTATTTTCATTGTGTATACAACCACACTTTTCTTCTTTCCTTAAATATTTTCTTCTTAAAATTCCTTATATTTTCTCCAATATTTATAAGTAATTATGTTGAACCTTACTATCTCTGCTTGTTTTCAACACAGCCTTCTTGCCATCTTATCAAATATTAGAACTGCCAATGAATGCTAAGACCAACGACAAATGTATATGAAATAATTCAACTTATAAAAACATAAAGATGCAGAAGATAATGAAATACTCTACCTTTATCAGAATTATCTGAATCTTCTGAAGAAACCTCATCTAGAAAGGAACACAAAAACAATTTAAAAAATAGTAAGCTTATCTTGGTTTTATCTGTTATCTTAAAATGTTTACAAAGGATACTTCTGTTACAACAAATTACACATAAACGTGCACATGCATACATACTCCATTACATTCAAAAAAAACAAAGTAAACACTGAAGCAAAGCATTTCTTTTCATAAGTTCAAAGATCATCAGTTTGAGCTCAAATAAGTTATCCCAAGACCTGGGGTGTAAAAAGGTTATCTTACATTTCCAAAAGGCTTTCAACTCCTCAAGGAATTAAGTACTTCAGAACCTCTCTGGTATGCAACATCTGATTTTTGGACAATGTACAATCTAATATAATATCCAATTCTTGAACAAATTTTTGTGGCAATAAACATTTCTCAAAAGGTTCTTCCTCTCTATATAATGTAAGAAATGAATCTTTTTTTTTTTTTCACATCAACCTTTTTCTTTAAAATAAAAAATGTATCTTTTTGACCACCTATGTTACAGTCTAGAAACAATTGCATATCTATATATTTTGCATATCTATTTACATACCTATTTAGGTATGGTGAAATTAACATTCATCTTTTTTTTTAAAAATAATATTGAAGGTTTAAAATTTAAATGTACCTTTATGAGTCTTTTTTTTTGACTTCTTTTTTGTTGAACGAGATAATTTTGTCTTCTTAACTTTTGGTTCTTTAGAGCTCAGTACAGCTGTGCCTCTTTTCTTGCTTGCTTTGATTTCTTTCCTCCTTTAAAAAAAAAAAAAAAAGGTACATCTTCTTTGGTATATATACTCTTCAAGCAAGAGTAAATCCTAGGTATTTAATTCAAACAGTTGCCATTTTTTTCTGAAGCTTATCATTAGTTAAACAAAACAAAACAAAACAAAATCATCTGACGCAGAAGAATCTCAGGCCTAAGAAACTGCTGCAGATCAACAACCCATGTATTTTATTTTCCATGTGACTTATGTAGGCTTACTGTATGAACGTAAGGATTTTTTGCTGCTTCTTAATCTAAAACAGTCAGGAAAATTATTTCTGAGTATGTACTGCTCTGAAGCCAACTAAGAGAAAATATGCTTGATCGTGCTTTTTTTGAAATCATGTGGTTTTACAATTTTAGTAAAAAAGAAACAAGTCAAACAAATCTCAGTTAGTTAATTGTCCTTCTTAACATGTGCCTACACAGCACTTTAATGAAACTGAGTATGAATTATATTTTAAAATAAACTACCTTTTATGTATAAATCCATCTAGACACACCTTTCATTTGTGTTACTTTAAAACAGAAACAGTAGTTTCCTAGCTCAAAGGTTTTACTTTCACGTGCTGTTTAGATAATTTAGCAATTAAGCCATACAACTGAGACCACTTCAAGGACCAGACAACCATGACACTGGAAAAGCTGTTAAATTCAAAAAGATTAGAGATGATAATCAAAAACAAAGCAAGTGTTAATGCACATATTTTATATGTTCCAAGTTGAGTAGTTTTCTCTGCTATTAGGAGTGATTCTCAAAGGAAAAATACTTAAATTCAGAATTTCAAAGCACTGATGACTCACACATAATAATCCTATTTTTTAGCAAAGGAAAAGCTTTCCAACTCTTAAAACACAGCAAAAGGTAAAATAAAAGGTTGGTGTTTTTCATATACTTTCTGAAGAGAAAAATAACTATTGGGCTAAAACTAAGGAAAATAAACTTTGGGGGAAGGAAGATTCTCCTAGTTTGGGAAGTTTTGTAAATTCATTAGCACAAAAATACCTAACTCTCAACAATATCAAGCCAATGACTTTATAAGAACTCCAGAACAGAATATGCTTCAGTGTCAATTAAGTTTCTAATCATCTAGTTGAACTTTTATCCTTATTTGCTGTTATTCATACTAGCAACATATCAATAATTCATCCCCCATATTTTCAAAATATTTAATTACCGGTGATGGAAGTTTAGTTTGTAGGAACATTCTGGACATAGTCCTGAAAAAGAGAGAATGAGAATACCATAGCCATGTATTCGATAAGCACAACTAAAAGAACCTTATTAATAAACAGATCAAATTGTTCTACAATTGTACTGAAGATCCACAAGTCTCTTACATCTTCAGTAGAGACCAAGTGTTGCCACCTGGAGTGTTTTGTGCACAAAAGAAAAAACATTATTTGCTTCTTTTACGTAGAAAAACTGTGTCAATTTTGCTAAGTTTAATTATCTACTGAATATAGCAAAATGTACTGAATAAGAAAACCCCACTCAAGAGATGAGAATAGAAAAGGAAGCAAGTTAATTAAAGCTAGACTTTTTGGAAGAAAACAAAAGATGTAAAAATAACCTTAGTTGAGCTGAAGGTGTACAAAAACTTGACTGTTCCAAAGCCCTAAAAACTCCTAAACCACAAAATTAAGCAATGAAAATTATGAACTTTCCTTGCAAGTCAGTATTGTCCAATAAACCCAGACATGCCTGTATAGAAAATAGCTTATAAATTATTCTAATTTTATGACATCATGAATTATACAGGATGAAGTGCTCAACCTGTAACAACTTTGCCATACATAACAGTAGTAGCCATTCTCAACAAATCAAGACCATTGCTACCTTTAATTAATCTAACAAAATTAACTCCTATTCTACAGCTTATTTTCCACTTTTCGTGAACTAGTATCATTATCTTTAGGTCTCACTCTATAGCTTTTCAAGAGTAGGATCTTCTTTTAGGTTTATATATCCTTGAAGGCTTGACTTACTCAATTTCACAAGTGCATTCCTCTTTTCACCATGTTCAACATAACCAAAATTCACCTCCCAGCTCTTCAGGCCTTCTTCCTCATCACAGTGCTTATTTCCACAAGAAAACTGACCTTTAAAGATATCAGAAATGGCAAACCATGGTTCAGTGATTAACATGCTTAGGCTTGGGGTTGTTATTTCCAGTTTTGCTCAGTTTTTGCTTTCATTTTCTTTCAAAGAAAAAAGCCCCAACCTAAAAATAAAACCTAGATTAAGGAAACAATAACTATAATGACAAAACAATCATACCTGTCTCATATTGCATATTTGCAAAGAAAGAACAACTAAAATTTCTTTAACATTGCATAGAGGAAGGAAGATCTTAGGGGGGGAAAAAAAAAAGCCTAATCCTGAACTAGGATATATACTATGCCCTAAATGTTACTTATCATAGCATGATGTATAAGCAGGTGCAATTCAGCCGTACATCCCTAATGACATAATCTATCCAATGTACAATGAATAAAAAAGATTAAGATGTCCATATTCTTATTACCTTACAAATTTACTTGATATACTAGATATACAATTTGCATTTTAGTGACTTTCCATAAACACTTTCCTTTAAGAAAAACTATACTTTAAAAAATAAATTTAATTATGTGAAAAAGCATGCAGCAGCTTTAAATGTTTCCTTGGGTTTATTATATTAAATACAACACTAATTTTAAAACAACATACATGTAATCAATGTTGTTTACACCACTGGGTTCCCAATATTGCAGTAATAAAGACACACATATTCATTTTGCAGAGGACTAATTTGTATGCAGAGCTGGCAGTAAGGATCTATATTAATAGGCTCACAAGCAGGACTGTTTGTGAACGATTAACCTCAGAACATTCTGTTTAAGCTGCTAACTAATGGATTGGAAGTGTCCTCAGATACTTCAGTTCTGCAATTATATTCTGCCATTATAAAAAGTTTTGAATTCATATATTTTCAAAATGTTTAACCCCATGAAAGGTGTGGTTATCAGGAACCTGTATAATCTGGAATCATTTATACCAATCATAAAAAAATGAAAATCAACAAGGAAAAATTTATACTATTTAAGACTTTTGGTAACTTAATCAATTTTTTTTTGTTTGTTTTTTTCTCTTGTCCTTTGAAAAAAATCAGTATCTTCAGATTGTTAAGGCAAGGAATGAACTGCTAGGTAAGCCAGGACTTTACTGTGTAGGTCACCATAATTCTGTGACCTTATACATTTACATATATTTATGATGATCTAAATATTTTAAATGATGGTGAATTTTTTTTTTCTTAGAAGATCCTTACTTCATACTATATATGTATACAAATGGTCAGGCTTTTCTCAACCTCTTCTTTCACACTGCAATGCCTAAAACACATGCTCAAGCCCTGACTTGAATAAATAATTCTGCTGTTTGTGAAGTTTTTTTTCAATAGTGTTTATCACTGTAGAATGTCATTAAAAATATTTTTTTCAGAGAAGTAAGAGATCATTACAATCCCCTTTCACTCCTAACTCTCCTTCCCCATGACCTTACAAAGAAAGGCATGTAAAACAAAGCAACCAAATGTGAATAACCCATTCCTATGTTCCCTTCTTAACATACCCCAAACCATAACTCAATCCACCAGCAGCAGTTCTCAGCACCACTATTACTGTCACAGCTAAATTAAGCACATACTCTCTTTTTTAAAATATGAATCATAATTCATTCATACACAGCTGACCAGGTTAAGGTAAGTATTAATGCTTTATTACACATTGATTAAAGTAATTTATATTACTGACTTATATTAGAAAATAGCAAAAGAAAGACATTAGTTATGTCTTTCTTAAATAACCACTTCAAACTGCACTTTGCCAGAGCATCTCATACGCCAGGTGGATTCTTGCGCCCCTCAGTGGTGAGAGATACCATTTCTCCATTCTTATGTTCCAATTGTTCTACAAGCTTTACACTTTTCATTAGAAAACTTAAAACATGTAATTCTGCACTTTCTCCTGCATTTTAAAATAGTGTATCAGGTATTAAAAGTACAATGTATCTTTAAATTCTTTTCTCCCTGATGAAGCCACAATAATTCATAAATTATGAATTTCTCATTAACTTCTGTTATCTTTTAAAAGTGTTCATTCAATAATACATACAACTGTATCAAATTTAGGTACCTGCTAACATAATCTGTAGTGCTGAAAGCAACATATGACTACAACTACCTTTAGAAACACGATGAAAAAAACCAAACAAACAAATAAACAAAACACAACAGCATTGTATTTCTAATTTCTTGTAACGCATAATAATAAATAGAACTGTTTACAAATCTTTTCTGATCAACTGTATCACTCCACTCAATTATCTTGCATGTGCATGCATGACTCCTGAAAACTGCATAAGGTGCACAAGCATTCTACCCCCAGGAACAGCAATATGTTCACATAATTTTCTTGCTTGTTCAGTTACTTGAAAACTCCATGCCCCTAAGATATGAAATGAGGACCACTGTATAAGTTCCAGTAATACAACGTTATCAACCCACATACAGAGTCAGCTAGAATAAGTTGCTGATTTAGAGACAGGATAGGAAGAGATGACAACCATTCTCACTGAAGGTTTCAAAACCAGGATAGCCTGAAACAGATGTCGTGTGTAGTACTTTAATTAAGAAGTTAACATGTTCCAAAACAACATTGGAAAAACTTAAAAAAACGATCTTTTGAGAAAAGAATTCAGAGACTTCAATTAAAGGTATCGAAGACTAATAAGTAAATGTAGAACTACTGGAGAGAAGCAGCTGGAAAATATATCCATGACATTCTACATCATCAAATGCATTATGTTGGTGTTCATTACAAATTTGACCTTGTGAAAGTAAATTACATGTTCTCTTAATTTAGGCTGGAGAAAAGGAGGCTCAGGGGAGACCTTATTGCTCCCTACAGCTACCTGAAAGGAAGTGGTAGGGACCTAGAGGGGTCAGCTTCCCCTTGCAGTAAGTAGCAATAGGAGGGAATGGCCTCAAATAGCGCCAGAGGAGGTTCAATCAGATTGGAAATTGGGAGAAATTTCTTCTCAGGGTGGTTAGGCATTGAAATGGGTTGCCCAGGGAGGTGATGGAGTCACTGGCCCTGGGGGTGTTTAAGGAAAGGCTGGATGTGGTACTTGGGGATATGGTAATATTGGTGGTAGGGGGGTGGTTGGACCAGATGATCTTGGAGGTCTTTTCCAACCTCTATGATTCTATAAAAAAAAATCTATGCAGATTAGAGCTATGTGGAATAAAACAGTGAAGTTAACAGCTACATCAATTTATTGTCTATCAACATCTGATACACTTATCAGCATAAATTGTCAAATACTATAAAAAAAAATTATGTTGAAAAGAAACAAGAGAAGCAAAAGGCAAGGTGAAATGCAATATAAAATGAAAGAGAGCATTATTACCTTTTCCTGAAATTACTTCTTTCTCGTGTCTCCATCTAAATCCAAACTGTTGTGATAAGAACCAAAATCAGTTTTGAACAGTCAATATATTCATTAATATAAAGTCTATTTTCAGTGACTGATGTACTGCATTTCATTCATTAAATTCTGGTTACTAAAATTTAATTTCTTTATGTGTTAATTAAAAGTATCTTTCTCCTTCTGGTTACCAAAAGTATCCCAACTTACTCACGCAATTCAGATTCTAGTAGATGCTGTGTTTGATCGTGAATTAACTTTTAAAAAGTTTCACAGCAGGCGGAAAAACAAATGGGAAATTGGGATATATATCAGTAATGGAAATCAACAGTTGATCTACAGTGTTTTTTTATTCCTGTTTTAAATGGTATTCCAATTCTGAAAAGCTTGTAATACAACTGAAAAATATTGCAAGTTTAAGATTAAATGTCAACAGTATTTTGGCATCAGTTTTGCATGTGTGTGCAGTAGGCTATAATGTGTGAAATGCTTTTCTATAGTCCCTCTTCCACTTCCCCAGTCACCAGGTTATCCATGCACACCTTTGCTACTTCAGTACTTCTATGCATTTTCTCTCACAGTCCAAACATGACCTGTTATGATATAAATCATTTGATATCCTTCACAAAGTATTTCTGCAACAGTATCAAGAAAAAAAGAGACCACAATAATAAGAAAATATGCAGCCAGAACCACCAACCAGAAGCCCAGTTTACTGCTTGGATGAAACCTGTCCTTATCTGCAATTCAATTTTTGCCCATCACTATTCCACCAACTAATGGAAAATGATGGAGAGCAAAAACGGATAAGAAGAAACCAATAAAATAAAAATGAAGCAACAACTTAAGTCCTCTAACTAAACCAGGAACAGATTAAACAACATAGAAAAAATAAAAATTAGGGTAGGTTCATCAATAGCCTGCAAAATGAAGGAAAGCAGAAGCAGTTATTCTGCCTTACCTTCCTCGTTAAATGAGTTCAGCAAGATACTGAATGAGCTATTTCTCTACCTTCAAGGTAGACCAAGACTTCAAATGTTTTTATGCAACTCCAAAATGTTTTTATGGGACTATCAAATGGCTAACTTATGAAGAAATGACAGTTTAAAAAAATATGAAAGATCTTTTAATATCCATAAACAGTTAAATTCTCAATCGAATGCAGACTGCTTTCATAACATTTATTAGCTGCAGCAACATTTAAAATTTAAACAAAACTGTGGAAAAATACCACAGATATTTTAAATATTTTTCTTTTCACAGAAAAACCTTCTATGCTGACAAAAGTGAACATATTAACATTACCAAGTGGAAGACAAGTTGGCCTAGAAATCTGAAAAAGATCTGGGGAAAAAAAAAAAACAACTCAGCAAAAGAATAAAATATTCTGTTTAATGACCAGTTGTCAGATGCATTTCATTTCTTAGCAAATGGCAGACATTTCCAATCTGTTGAGCTACAAAACAAAGCAGAGACAGCAAATAAGAATCCTTCTGGAAAAATACGAAGGCTAAGAAAACAGAATATTTCTAGTCTAATACCTAACGAAGTAAAACTTATATGCAGAGCACTCTCCCTTACTGCACAGCAAAATTGACAATAGAGCTAAAATATGACAATACACAGATGGTCATTTATCAGCCTCGAAGGTTGCAGACAAGATGCAGAGGTACAAAGACAACCTTGACCTCAAGTAACTCTGATCTAGGGAAATGTAAGGAGTAGCAGACACACCTAAGGCAAAAGTTGTCAAAGCACATTTATCCAAAGTCTACAAGCAGCCTCATACCAGAGGACCACCTTGGCATTGCTCAGTAAAATTAAAAGCAAAGGAAATGATGACACGCAAAGAAAAGAAATAATGTAATCCTCTGTGTGCAAAGATCCTTGTTTATGTAGCAAAACTGTGAGAGTTGCACCATTAAAAAAAGACCTTGGTGGTCAGTTGTCACTCTGCCAGAGATGTTTCCTTATTCAGTGCACCTTCAAGGTAATGAGGTAAGGTGCAGATGAGGAGGAATGGGCTTCTGCTTAACGAACTTAAGCTTTGGTCTTTCTCTTTTTCTCCATGTTTAGGTTACTAAAAACTGGCTACAAACTTCTATTATTGACTGCAGGTGTCAATTTTAGGAAGAACTAATTTGAGAAAAGCTAACTATATTTGATAAAAGCTCATCTACACCCTCCAAAGAAGCACAGAGAGACAATGGCAGTAGAAAGAACTCAAATAATACCCTGACCCCTGCTGCTTCAAGGCCCATCACAGAAGGCAGCAGGCCGTCAAAGGTGCAACCCCAGAGAGGTATAGAAGCACAACACTGGTTAGAAACCCAAGGTACCAACTCCAGAGGAATGAACTGCCAGAGCTGTCCAGGCAGAACCATCAGCCACATTGTCCAGGTGTGAAACCCATCATAATGAGACATCAGGAACAGCTCTCTGGATCACCTTTCAGACGGAGGGGTGAGACACAACATGGCACGCAGGGGAAGAGCTTTCTGGGACTGCACAGGATTTATTACAGACGTTTAGGGAATGAACTCAAGGCAGAAAAGGACTCTGAGAGCTTTGGGGAAGAAAAAATGCAGAGTAATAGAAAGGTAAGGAGCGGGATGATGCCATTGGTACTATCTTTGTGTGACTGCTCTGTGCTCACGTCTGCAATCTGTGTGGATGATCCTGTGTGTACATTGTATGTACATAATAATAACTATGATTATTATACACCTATATGGGTGTATGTGTGCTCTGTGTGGGTGCCTACGAGGAATACATTTTCAGCCTCATTACTGGTTGGAACTGGGTGCAGGGAGCTGCAGCAGCCTTGCCCCTTGCATGCTCTTGGGCCCAGAAATTCCTTTAACAAAGAATATCAACTTAATGAAGCTGTACACAGGAGGTATAAGGCTTCTTATTGTTTGCTTTTTGAGCTTCTTGTCTTTGGCAAGATGGTCTGTTGATTTTTCAGACCTCAGCAGGGTGCTTCCCACAAAAATGATACTTATCATTATCCGCTATTTAGGAAAACTGAGTTCATTTTCTCAGAAGAAATGTTCTAAATGAGATCGTAACTACAATCTCTATACATAGGTCTGTAGAAGAATTAGCTGGCGAGAAGATTTTGTCTAGTAGAAATACAATTATATGTGTGAAAAGAGAGATGACTATGTATGGGCAAGTCTCAAACTATGTTTTTTGATAAAAGCTTTTTATAAATAGATAGATAAAAACACACACACACAAACTCATTGCCAAGTTTAGCACCACCTAACAGGCATATAAAGAAGCATCATCAACTATGAAACAAAAGATTGACCAGCTTAGAAGCTTGCCATCCACCCTACACCTCTCATAGCACCAGCACTGCAAAACAGAAGGCACGAGGGGCTAAAGATAACTGCCTCCAGTTTCTGGAAAACAGAAAAAGAATTGAGGCAGAAAAAATCTGAAAGCACAAGCTTCATTCCATTGGTGTGAACAGGAACTGATCAGCAGCCTATTTCTGACTCCCAAGAAAAAACTTGCTTTTGGCATCCTTCTGTACCAAACATGGGCATGGATAAATCAATAATTGAGAATGAACTGGAGAAAGGACTCTTGCATAGTCAGAACATATTTGAGGACAGAAAGCATAACCTAATAAAGAGAACAAATTACCTGATGTATCACTTATGCTGAAATGGCAGTTCCAAAAATATAGGTAATGACTTACTAGCATAAACAGGAATTCAGAGTGACCTCAAAGTTAGGACAGTCACATTTGAAGTCTGACAAGGGAATACTGTTCACACAACACACACACAAAAATAGGAAACTGTGGCAAAACAGTTTCCCACAAAAGATAGCAAGCATATGGAAACTTGGCACAGTAAGGAAAGAAACAAAATCTGTGAGCATGCTCAAGGGAAACTCAGGTTGGGATGGGGGTGGGGACAAGATACAGAGGGATACGAAACTGTAGGAAAATAAAATAATTTAATTTTGTATTTTTCTGTTTAATCACCTTTAGACAGCTGTCCTCTTTTCTGCCTAATATTAGAGTTTAAGCCTAGTCCTTGCAAATATTTACCAGTGAGTATAATTTTCAATACTATAAATAGTCTCAAAGAACTTTACATAGACACTGTTCGCAGGGCTGCGTTGTTACTATGTGCTAACAACACTAATAGGCATTTGAGTTCAGCAACGCTTTGCAAAATTACAATACAAAATTCACATACTCTTTTTGACTAAAAGGTTAGACAAAACCTTGGAAACAACAAAGACTGTTTTGGCTAAGAAGGAAAACTGGTCTTGGAATTTGTTTGGTTCTCTTAAGAAATTTTATTTATTTACAAAAAAATCTTGTTTCCATAAACAGAAAAGAAGAAGCAGTGACAGATGCTGCTTTAGAACAAGCATATCCAAAATTGTTTCAGTCACCCTTCAAGTACAAAACTATCTCTTTTTAGACTTTTTTTTTTTAACAGTAACATTCCCAAGGTTTTTTTAGGCTTCATCAAATGTTTCTCTCTAGACAAACCCCTTTAGCCTTCTCTCCCCAGCCTCTCTGCATTTTGTGCCTTTCTTACACACAATGTATCTCTTCATAAAACCCCATCAGAGAGAAATGTTTCTATTCCCACAGAAGCACATTTTTGGGGCAGTGACAATGCTTGGATTCAAAACTGCTGCTGCTTATTAAATAACCTGACAGTTTCTCTCAACGCTCTTTCTAGGGAAGGGGTACTAACAATCTGGTTTCACAACATATATGTTGTTGTAAGAAAAAGAAGGCATACTTTAACACCAAGGTGATTTACAATAATGAAACATACCTTATTCTCTTTGTATCTACTGAGATCTGCTATACAGTATTCTTTGAATAATTTATCATAATACTTCTTGGCAAGTCTCTTCTCCCTGTAAAAAAGGTATTAAATAATATTATTATTTAAAATTTTATTATTAAAAATATTCTATTAAATATAGAACATAATACTATTTATTTTATATTTTAATGACATTAACCAGACAAAGATGTTTTGTTTCATCTGAAGAACACAAGTTGTAGAGCTAGAAATGCAACAAAAATACACTCTTTGAGATAAGAGACAATTTCCACAAAAGCAGGAAAATGCATCTAAAATATATCTACAGAATCACAAATTAAAGTGTTTTGTTTTGTTTTGTTTTGTTTTTGTTGTTGTTTGCTTGTTTAAGAAAGGGCTCCTTCAGGATTTTCAGAACAGTCATCTCAGAGAATGCACAAATACTTTTTCTTTCTTTCTGTCACCATATCATTTTGCCACTAAGTGATGTTACTAAACCTCTTAAAGGTCTTTCATTGCTAAATGCATTAAGGATCAAAGAATGATCACTAAGTATGAACAGTAATTCTTAATAAATAGGGGATACAAATTCAGTACAAAGTGATCTAAAAATACAATGTTTTATATAATAGTTCCAGGTACCAATTCATATCTGCTTCATCATCTTCATTCCACAGGAATCTATGGTTTTCTCTTATAATATCAAGATCCGTCTTGTCATTTTCTCTGTAAAAGAATGCAATTTTATTTTAGTATGATATAACATTACCATGAAAAGTCAGTCACATAGTAATTTGGTAAACATCAGTATTCATCATTTTTATCTCTACCTCACTGTATAAAGGAATTACTATGGAATTAAACTATTTAAAAATATATTACTCCCTCATATACCATTTCCCAAATGAAAAATCCACAGTAGTAAATGGTCACTGAAACTGTGCATGACATCATTCTGTCTGAAAATTCTTTTTTTTCGAAGACAGTTATGGATAGCTCTAAAGAAGGATATCATTATTCTGGACAATGGGTAGCAACTTTGAAGATCTGAAAAGTGTTCCAGACTGATATTTTGAAGGTACTGCCAGATATTTCTCAACACACCTTCAATTAATGCTCACCTGTCATATTTCCTTTTATATAACAAAACAGGAATTAATTCAGCTCATGGTAAGTTCTTTTATAAAAACGATGGAAAATGGAACAAGGCAAGTTTGTGCTCCAGATATTTGCAATGACTATAGTTACTACTTGTGATCAAAATAATTAGTAGCTTGATACACACACACATCCCTCTCTTCCCCCTAAGATACAGTTTAACAGCTTTATGTAACAAGGGGGTTCTAAGGACCTCAGGGGAAAGACTGCTTATGGTTCTTACCCAGAACGTCGGAAATCCTCCCTTTTGCCACCATAGTATAAAATGTAGTCACTCACAAACTTTTTATGTCTTTCATACTGAATAATGCAATTAAGGATTCTGTATCAGTATTTAAATTATTTTACTGATAGTTTAAAACAAAAATAATAATAAAAATGTTTTATATGTTTAGCAGAAATAATTTTTTCTCAAAAACCTGTTGTTAATTTCCAGAAAGAAAGGAATTAATTAGCAACTTTTACTTAATAACCTCTTATAGAAGCTATCTTCCAAATACAGAACTTCAAGGCAATTTCATCTTTAAAACCTCAACCAGCTGCTAGAAGTTTATAAAACTATCTTTCTTCTCCAAAAATGCTCTGTAAGCATATATATAGAAGCCAACCTCCAACCCATGTCAAACTTGAAGAATAATTAAATAGAAGGATACAGCATCCATCGATATCAAGTGAAACCTTCTTTTTCTTGCTTCTTCCCTGTTAATAACAAATATGTTTGAGTGAAATTTACCTTTACATTAAGGAAAAAAAGCCTCACAAGAGCATCAGATTAAAGATACCTATCCCATTCTTCAGCTGCAAATTGTCTGTGAGCCACACTGCCTTGTTTTGCTTTTTGGAATGGCTTTACCAGAAGGCTCTCTTCCTTTGTGCTACAGATAAGGGAGAAAAAAAAAGGGAGAAATGTTAGTCAAAAACTTTCCATAAGTAATAGCATTTCCATATCCAAATTTTGCACTAACTCAAGTGACAAAACCTGCTATGCTAGTTTCTACAGTTTCTGACTAACTCTACATTACAAGCCCTTTATATATCTAGGCTTCACAGCCCAGTAAAAAAAGGAAGGACAATATGTTCACTGAATAAGAGTGACTGATAATAATACTATCCCATCCTTTCATGCTAATGTCTCAACACCTCATTAAGCAGTTTTGCCTCTCTTAGTGCAAGCACGGTAATTTAAAACTTAATTTAAGTACTGTCTTGTGAACCATACATGTCAGTAGCCAGCAAAAAATACATTCAAAATCTAACAAAGTAATAAAAGTTAAATATAAAGTAATACACTTCAGCTTAGTAAAAGGTATATTTAGTTAGTTTCATTCCTCAGCAGAGGTGAAGAAGGAGATTTTTCCATAATTACCAGCTGGCAGAAAGAAAGGAAGTCAGAAACCTGTAGCCAGTTGGCCAGGGAATTTATATTCTATGCTATAGGATACAGGACTCTAGAAACTAAGCATATCATTTGCTCAAAAGAACCTGTAGGCACAAAATTCCCATAAGGAGATTCCGTAAAACAGCAATACAGAAAAAGCTTAAGACTACTATTTTCCTTAAAGTGAAAATAAATATCATCATAGAGTAAGAAAAAGATATACACATATGCAGTGAACCCACATTAGAGCCCTACTGGGAATCAGCAGCAGTGTGCCAGAACAAGGATAGCAATGATATTTTTGAAAGGCTCCTGATGGTTAGTTCCACCTAGGAAGCAGAATGGTGTAATGTGTAATGGCCTTTTAAAGAAAATCAAAACTGAACAAAACTAGTCACTGTTTTACTGGAGAACAGCCATATTTATAAAATAAATGCCTTTTATTATTCCAGTGATTAAAACACTGACTTTTTCCCAGAATGTAAACACTAGAAAACCATTCCTTCAGTTTCATTACAAAGGAAAATATGCAAGAGTCCTAGGAAAGTTTCCAGAAAGCCTTCTTAAATAAAGTCTAATAACAAGGCAAGGAAGAGACAGGAAAAGGTATGAGAAATGTATGTCTAATGTAGGCAAAACGTTTAGTATGGTGCAGAAAGTGTCCAAGGATTATGGTGCCAAAGCAAAATAAATACATAAATTAAAAAAAAATAAATCTTAATAAGATCAGACTACAAAATTTTAATTGTGCAAACTAATGAAAGAATTGGCAAAATGGTCTCAAATAAGAGATACATAGTTACATTTCAAGGATTGAGTACAATATAATTCACCAATACAATTCCCAGGTCTCTTCATAAATTAATAAACTTTAGTGGTTTAAACTTGGTAGGCAGCTAAGTACCACAAACCACTTCCTCACTTCCTGCCCAGTGGGATGGAGGAGAGAACAGGAAAGAGGAAAGTGAGAAAACTCATGACTTGAGATAAAGACAGCTTAATAAGTGAAGCAAGCGGTGTGTGTGCAAGCAAAGCGAGATAAGGAATTCATTCACTGCTTCCCATCGGCAGGCAGTTGTTTAGCCACTTCCAGGAAAGCAGAGCTCCAGCAAACATAATGGTTACTTGGGAAGACACGTGTCATATCACCAAACGTCCTCCCTTCTTCCTTCTTCTACCCAACTTCTATTGCTGAGCATGACATCATATGGTATGGGACATCCCTTTGGTCAGCTGGTGTAAGCTGTCCAGGCTGTGTCCCTTCCCAGCTGCTGATGCACCCCCAGCTTCCTCACTGTTAGGGCAGCATGAGAAGCAGAAAAGACCTTCCCTCTGTGTGCAAGCACTGCTCTGCAACAACTACATGTAAAACACGTTTTCAGCACTAATTTCTAAGCACTAAATCCAAAACACAGCACCACATGAACTACTATGAAGAAAATTAGCTACCCCAATGAAAAAAAAATAAATAATAAACTAGTAGCAATTCTTCACTTCCTCCAAGCAGGTGTTTTATATCTACAAAGCCTGCAGCTACTTGGCCTCTTTTGCCTTGTTCTCCTAGCAGTTTCACATTTCCTGATGGATGGAAGTGAAGGGAGCAGCCAAACTCCAGCAGTTCATGCTAATGCTCAGAAAAATGAAATACACTGCTCCAAGAACCGAGAGGCACATAGACACCAGATGGACATGGCAGAACAGATTTTAATCAGTTGTCCCTGGGAGACAACATGCTCTGGCAAGCTTGGTGTGAGGAAATGCTGGAATCAGAGGTTGATTTTTCAAAAATCAGTTCAACACCAGACTTTACATACCACAGCATAATTTTCTACACAACAATAGACCATTTGGACAAAACACACAATGTAAAGTATTAATTCTGTACTACATTACCTTTTAGTCTTTTGCACGGACTTCTCTCCATTCTCCTCATCACTGAAATCAGAATCATAGCCGCCATGGCCACGTGCCTGGAAGTAAATAAATGACAATGCAGTCAATATACCTGCTAGAGTAATTTGGATACAGCATAACTAGAAATCAGTACTGTGCATCATGAATAAATAAAAGACACTGAGCACACAATCAAGTGCAAATTCTCACATATGTTTAAACCAAATCATATGCAACATACAAAGCAGAACATTTTCTAAATAACATAGGACAAAGAAACTATGGTTTCTCACAGACACTGTCAACCTGTCAAAAATCACTATATAAATAATTTATACGCAGACGTTCCAATACTTAATCTTAACAGATGCAGATGCTAAAAAAAAAAAAAAAAAGATACTAAAACACTTTTGGTCTTTACTTTCAAACAATCTCTCTTATACAGAAAAGGTGAGTATTTCCTCCAAGAGTTACTCTTTCAGAAGGCTGGAGGACAGAAAATGACATGCCTACATTTAAAATAATCAACAAGGATGAGCAAAATTTTTTCTTTGGCTGTGGTACAACATTTGAGATTGTTAGATCTTACATAAATAGCTGGAAAGCTGATTGAAATTATTATCTAAATACAAAATAAGATGCCTATAAAAACATACAGTTTAATCGGCACAATAGTCATACCACGAAATGAAATATTTTTCCCACACATTTTTGGACCATTATTACTTATTATGTTATTAAATACTACTAATAAACCCATATCTTAATGCCATCAAAATGAACAAGCACTAGCTAAAGCCCAAATCTGTCATCTCCATTTTTCAGCATACAGTTACATGTGCAGTTCTCTCAGTGGAAGCAATGGCTTTAGTTGATCCCACCTCCTCTCTCTCACTCCTAATCTCACATCTTCCTTCTAGCTGTCCAGCTGCAAAGTGTTCTACTACACAAGAGCCAGATCAAACCACTCATCCAAGTTACAACAAATGATCTCATTAAAAGTTCAACGATAAATTCAGGGTGAAGAAAACCAACCACCCTTGACTGATGTCCCAATACTTTTAGGCCAATCCTTCTCTGAAGGCACAGTACAGCACCAGTACTGTGGCGTGCACACCAGTCCTCGTGTGCACAGACAAGTACTGCACCAAAGCTATGTTCATGCATCAGCAGCTCCAGCAGTGCTGAAGGCACTTGTGGAGACCCAGACCGAACAATTACTGACTGCCTCAGGATGGTACCAAGATGACCTGACTTTTAGTTAAAACTTAAAAATGGACTACAACAAAGAATCTCATGAATATTTCTACTTTGGAAGGAGAGTGCAAACAGACATCTGCTTAACATGAAATTTCAAGACTGGCTTCTCCCCTATCCCACAAACAAAAAACCCAATCCAAAATACGTAAAATTTATTCCATATTTAACTGTAGTAAAAGACAGGCAGATAACAAAGCTTTGTGTCCAAACTAAGAGATTTTAAAAGATGCATATGTAAGTATGGTCATGCAAAACTGTCAAGAAAATTTAAAGTAACTACTTTCACTATTTGATAAACCCTCTCATACCACAGTTGTTTTCATATTTTTTTTCTAAACTAATAAGTAACTACCAAACATTTTATCAAAGTATGAACCTGAGTATTACATAACTTATTTGAGTATTTTATCTTCTGCACCGATGTTGGACTTTTTTTTTTTTCCAAACACCACCACAAACTGAAACCACAAAACTAAAACAAGTACTAAAACAAGTGTACTTTGGGATACACTTAAATCACTGACAGTTAAGCAATCCCAACATCTTGGATTCACTTTTGGAAAGCACTAACTAAATTAGAGCTCCTGTAAACTAGCAGTTTACACGCGGTAAATGCAGTAACGTTGCGTATGACTGACAGCAGACAGGAAATGTCAACTGTTGATGCCAACTCCCCAGCACCACACTTGCAGGAGGCATTGGCATCCAGAAAAGGGTGCAAAACCTTCAACCCTGTTTTAACCCTTTTCATTGAGGTAAAGGCACACTAGTGAAATGTGCACATCAGAGAACTGTTCATGTTGACTCCTACGGTTGAACTGTAAACGCAAAAAAAAAAAAAAAAAAAAAAGGCAACACAGTCCTAGACACAAAATCCCATCTCGTGGCCCCTCGTCACGCAGCTCCTTAACAGGCACCACTCAGCCTTCCCTGTACCTGCCCAGCTCACAGGGCTGTGCTCCTGTCTGCGCCCAGCCCCAGGCAGGCCCCTGTGCTCGTTTTGGCACACACTGCCCTGGGAATGCCTCAACTGAGCCCGGGATCCAGACCAGAGCTGCAAGGAGCTGAAGGCTGGAAACTGACAGGAAACTGAGCGCAACAGACAGGGATCCGCATGCGGCAGTGCTCAGTGCTCCTGCACCTTCCTGTCAGCTTCCGGGCTTCGCTGGGACTCTGCAGCCGCCACTTGGGTGGAAAACAATTGACAGGCCGTTCAGTGAATTTCACAAAAACACGATTACGAAATGTGTTTGTACATACTGCATGGTGAACGCTCCTAACAAAGAGAAAAGCCACAAAGTACAGCCTCTTTGCAAAGGTTTTTTATTAAAACTGTCTCTCAAAAAAAAAAAAAAAAAAAAAAGTAAAAGGTAAGACAGCAAGCAGGCTACGGCAGTGGAGTTCAAAGGTTTGTGGGGCTCCACAGTGAAAAATGACGCTGAGGAAAGGCCTGGGTTGGTCTTAGGCAACTTCCAAAGCCACCCCTCACGCCCTGAAAGCTTCCCGTCTCTTCCCGTCCCTTCCCTTCCGATCCCTGCCCTTCCCCGGCCCGGCAGGCCGCGGGCCGCACGGCGGCGGGGGCTGTGCCCGTGCGGGGCCCGCGGCCTGCCCCTACCCCGGGCCTTCCCCGCGGAGCCGCCGCCCTGCCCCCTCCCCGCGTCCCTCCCTCCGCGGCCCCACTCACGGCGGCGCCGAGGCGCAGCTGCTGGGGCACCATGGCGGCGGCGGCGGCCGGGGCCGGGGCCGGGACCGGGGCTTGGACCGCGCGCGAGGGCCGGGCCGCGGGCCCCTCCCGGAAACCGGGGCCAGAGGCGGAGCGGGGCCGCGCCGGGAGCTGCCTGCGCTCGGCGGAGGGGCGCCGAGGGGCTCGGGGGGCCGGCGGAGCGCGGCGGGGAGCCGGCGGCCGGGGGAGGGCGAGGGCGAGGCGCGCCGGCAGGGGAGGGGAGGGGAGAGGCGCTCATCATGCTGAGGGGCGAGGGGAGCCTCCCCGTCCGGGATCCCGGTGCACGGCCCCGGCTGCGCCCGCCGCCGCCTCGGGGAAGGTAGGAGCAGCCCCGGCGGGTGCCGCCCGGCTGGAGGGGCTGGGGGGGGGCTCGGGGCGCAGCGGGGCCGGGAGCGGGCTCGGGGGCGCCGGGTCCCCCCGCTGCCCTTCCCCGGGGGAAAGAGGCCCCGGGGCTGGGGTGGCAGCGGCGGCGAGGGCCCTGTGGGAGGAATGCCCGGCTGGCCCCGGCCCCAGCCCATCTATCGCCCGGCAGCGCTGCTCCTGCCTGTGCTCCCCTGGCTTCTCCTGCTGCGCTGCGGTGCGGCTGGCACCGCCGCTGCTCGCCCGGGGGTGGTGGAGTTTGGCCTGAGGGAAAGGAGCTTTGCACCCCCGAAGTGTTCTCGTGAGCTGGCTGGGAAATGCCGGTGTCCACCATTAAACGGTCAGTGCCAGCAAGTAGCTGTCAGGCAGCTGATACTGTTTCCCATCAAACATTAGGACGCACCATACTTGAACCGGTGCGTTGGCTGCTGAGGTCAGAGATGCTGCAATCCATCACAGATACTTTATTCTGGAATATATCAGAGTTCCCAGCCATGCTATTGATTCCTGGAGTCTTAAATCACAGATCTACTTCACAATGGAAAATTTTTGAAATTGAAATACTACTTTCATTGTTACTAACGAAAAACATTATAGGGAGTTGCTATTATATAGCGAGGCTGTTGCACACCGCAGCTTTCAATGTACCTCCTTACCTTGGCTACTGAATTTCGGTTTCAAAAGAGAAGTGTTTTTTCTCTTGCTCAGGTATTTTTGTCACTAATTATGTTGTTACAGCTCTGGAAGGGATTTAAAGGTGGTGTTCCATGGAAAGGATCTGAGAGCCAAGTGTATGTGGCACTCACTGAATGTATATGGCATGCTGCTGAAGCCCCACTGAAAGTGTCCCATTTCCTCTAAAGGGCAGAGACTGTTGCAAAAATGGAATTATCCTAGTTAATAATTTAAATATCACAAAATAAATAATGTATACACACGAAGCTGTAATAGCAGGCGTATTCTTTTTGTTTTTCCTCTCCTACGGAAATGGCAGACTGCTTTAGTATGAATGAATCTTGACATGATTCTAGAAACTGGGCCAACATATCATTGATTATGCACTTTGAAGAACAGTGGGAAAGGTAGAGAGAAGATCTACAATTCTTGAATCTCTCATCATTGTACTGTGGCCACAAAGGCCTGCATATAGAAAATATAAACTTTCTGGAACAGGAAGATTCTGCAGAGAGTCCAACTATAGCAACTGTTGTGGATGCTGAAGTTATTGTATATGCAGTTTTGCTGAGAATAGCTGCTAGATAATTTCATTTTACTGCACTATACTATTCTGATGTCTGGCTTTAAAACATCCCAACGCTGACTGCTTTTTATATGCAGGCTACAGTAAGCTACTTTACAACCTACAGCTGGGTAAGTGGATCAGAAACAGCCTGCTAAATAGATGGGAAGTTGAAATTAGGCCTGTCCATAGCTTGTTGTAGATAGATTATAGCTCGATCTTCTGGGAGTATTTTCATTGCTTTAACCTTGCATCAATATGCTTTGACACTAAGAAGGACAATTCTCTCGTCAGATTCCCAGAGGACTGAAAGATACAGGGGAAAAGGGCAAAAAGATGGGCATCATTTCTTGGGGGGTGGGAGGCGTTACAGCTTTAAAGTGGATTTCAATAATTCTATAACCAGCTCTTTGCAGCACAGTTTGCAATTACAGGTAAATCAATCTGTGAGTTAGCTGCTGCTGAAAAGGGCATTCCTTTTCTCAAATTGGCAGTAGTGCTTGTCTGACCGCTTCTGCTGAACTGCAGTATTTAATTTGCTGCCAGTCTAGCTCCTTTGACACTCCTGCTGCGGCATCTGTTGAGTATCAGTGCTGGTGCAAAAACAGGTTAGGAATGGAGGGATGGGACAGGAGTGAAGGGGGAGGTGAGCTATAAGGACAGCCCTTTCAGCAGCAGATCTCCATTAAATCAGCAGTAATGTGAAACTGTTCTCTTAAATTACAGTAGCCCTGAACTTCGTGACCCACGAGGAATACAATATCACTGTAGTTGTCCTTTTACTCCTGACCTAAATCCAGAATTGGGTTAAGATCAGACCCACTGTATCCAGAAAGCCTAAGTCAGACATGGTTGTAAAACCTCCAGGAAGTAAATGTTTTCTCTCCAAGTTTTCAAATTATTGACATTTATCACTCAGTTTTCTGACAAGTCAGTGTAACAATTCTGTAGAAAGTTCTGGGAAGAAGAAACGGAAATTACTGTGAAGCTGGGATATTCTTAATAACAGAAGGTAATGTCCATGATTCTGAAATACTTCCAAGAGTTTAGCTTTAGCTTCTCTACTTTCACTCCTTCTTCCAGTTGTCTATGTAATCACATCATATTATGTGGACCACAGAGATAGACTCAGTATGGAGAAAAAAAAAAAGAGGCCAGTTTCATTTAATTGAATTTGCCACTTCTCGGTCATTCAAATTCATTAAATTGGTGGTAAAGCTGTTGCAAACACAACATGATTTATGAATAGGTATCAACTCATATAATTTGTGCTGAAGAGTGAAAGGTAAATTTTAACATCTGGCATGTGCCTTTCTGTGTCAGGGCAGACCTCTGAACTTGCTGTGGAGGTAGCATTATGTTAACTTAAGCAACCTGTTCACTTATTTATTGAATTCTGCCATATTTCTGGGGGGAATACTCTTATCAACATGTATGTACTAAAAGAAGTTACTAAATCATGGAGATGCAGAATTCACAAGACTATACCTGATGTATTTGTTGGGCTGTTCCTAAAAGTTTTTTTGGTATAGGAGTTTCCACAGTGTAAATAGCTATTAACCTTTAAGGTATATAGTGTTTGTTTGTTTGTTTTTTTCCTAATATATAAGACAAATCTCCCTAGTTGCTACGTGAGATAATTTTAATGCCCTAAACCAGTTGATACAGAAGGCAAGAATTGATCTATGTTTTTCTCATACATCTTTATATACTGGAAGACATATGCCCACAGTCTTCTCTTTTTGAAGCTAAAGAAATTAAAGTACCTTTCCATATAGGTTAAATTTTTGAGAACTCTTATATACTTTATTGCTATTCTTCAGACTCAGATTCCTCTTTCTGTTTTTAAGGAACACTAAGGCAGCTTTGCCAGTATGCCACAAGGGACAGCTACCACAGGTACAGAGAGTGAGGGCAAGGCAGTCACTGCCATTATAAGACCTGTTTGCAGAGTACATACATTTGAGTTTCACATGAGAAATGAATTCAGAGATATCAGAAGTATTAGTAATGTTCAGATTTATTATGTCTAATCTCTCCTCTTTCTCCATTATACCACTTATTTTGTTGAAAAATGAGGAAACGAGATTTTCTAACATTAGTTGGTATCAGCACCTTCCTCCATTCTACATCTGTGAAGTCGCCAAATCTTTTATTTTCATATCTTCGTAGTACGAACAGTCTCATGGCATCTGTCATGTTCCTGATTTTCATCTCTTTCTATTTGAAGTCCCCTAGTAATTTGTAGAAAAGCAAGCAGAGCTAAAAATACAAGTTCATGTGTGCGAGTAAAATTACATTCAGTAAGTGCAGTCTGCTTTCTTTAACGTGTACCTCTGTACAAATTTCGGGATGCACTGTGCCTTCCAACAAGCCCCAGCAAAGTGTAGTTAAGTCACAGCTGACTCACAAGCCCAAGACTTCCTAAGGAACAGGGAAAATCACTGTGGCTGTGCTGAGGCATGGCGGTTTATGCTCACCAGTTCCCATGACAGGGTTTGGTCATTACAGACTAGTCATTAAAGAGTCCTGTCATTCTGTGATGATCTAAAGATTAGGTAAAGGAAGCAGACTGTTGAAATGCACATTTATTTTGTCAAATTCAGTAAATGTTATGTTCCACAATCTTTTGCCATGTAAAGATGCATGACTTGGAGTTTAACTAGCCACTAGATGTCAATGTTGCTGTACTAAAAGGCATGTGAAGTTTCATTTGTTTGGCTGATAATTTATTCAATAAAAGCACTTCTGGATTTGAATTTTTTTTTTCTGGTATAGTCTGTTACAAAAAATATCATGGGCAAACCTGTGCTTTGTGTTTTATTTTGAGAGCAGCTGTGCTGTTTTGTGTTTTTTTTTGGAGCTGTAATTACCATTTCAGTGTGTAATCATTGTTAGAAAAGTGCCTTTGAAAAAATAACATCATTGTTCGTAAGTTTCCTCCCATGTTCCAATACCCCATATCTTTGTATAAGTGACCACAGTCGTTTGTATTGTGTTTAATTTGTTAATAGGGATAAACTAGAGATATATATTAGATGTAATATAGATAATATAATAATATGGATTAGATATAATGTATCTAATCCTGTTAAGAGAAAATCAGTTTTTCTAAATTCCACTTATTGATGGCAATTTTTCAATTAAGTATTCCTGCTTAATACCATTGGAGACCAGGATCAAACAGACCAAGACAGGATTTCTATAATATTAAGTCTTCCAGTCTGATAAACAATTTGGAAAATTTGGTTCTTTTGAAAATTTGGCCCTGATTCTGTTCAACCTGAAGGTGGCAAGGAGAATTTGACCCCCAGACCTTTATTCTAGGCTCCTGTACTTTGAGGGTGAGCAGATCACTGCAGCCTTTCACAACCCCTTGCTGCCTGCTGCACTGTCAGACTTGCAGCTGAGGTGTTGGTTCTGTTGGCCATCTCCAGAGCATTCACTTTGAGACCAAAGTTTGGGAATTAGTTTTGGAAACATTAATGGAAAGCTCAAGAAGAGGACAGTAGGCATGTCAAATTCTGAATT